TGAGAGGTGGGAGGGAAAGGGAGAGAGAAGGGAAAATGCATGGAAATGGAAGGAGACCCTCAGAGTTATACAAAAGTACATACAAGAGGAAGTGAGGGGAAGGGGAAAAATAATATAAGGGGGACAAACGAATGTCAGTAGAGGGAGCAGAGAGAGAAGAAGGGAGGGGAGGGGAGGCGAGGGGAGGGGAGGGGAGGGGAGGGGAGGGGGGATAGTAGAGGATAGGAAAGGCAGCAGAATACAACAGACACTAGTATGGCAATATGTAAATCAATGGATATGTAACTGATGTGATTCTGCAATCTGTATATGGGGTAAAAATGGGAGCTCATAACCCACTTGAATCAAATTGTGAAATATGATATATCAAGAACTATGTAATGTTTTGAACAGCCAACAATAAAAAATTAAAAAAAATAAATAAATAAAATGGCATAACTATTCTGGAAAAAAAAAAAAATAAATGATTCTATAAAAGAAAAAAAAAATACCATGAGTCTAAAGTTTGCTCAGTCATGCCCCAGAAAGGAAGACACTAATATCTTTAAAAGACAAAAGTAAATAACTCACAGCACATTTATCCAACTGGAAAAATTTTCTTCCTACCTTGGGGCACACAGAGCCAAAAAGTAGCAGGAGGAAAAGCACAACAAAAGTAATTTTATAAATAGGTAAATTCATTCATTAGACACTAACTTGTTTCCAAGACACGTGGAGTTAAAAAAAAAAAAAGTCGCCTAATGGAATACAGAACACAACTGACTAATGTCACTCTATTTCTAGCATCATAGGAATTTGTTCAGAATGAGTAAATATGGTCCAAGTACACCAAGTTCCTTTAATACTCCTTAAGAAAGGCAGTATAAAGATCCTACATATAATTAATACAAGATTTATCACCATATCTGAATCTGTGACTACCTCCATTTTTTTAATTCCAAAAGTTGAAAAAAGACAAGTCCAGACAAGTCCAGACCAGCAAATCCTTTGAGTTATCTTTCACTAATCCATAAGCACAGGCTACGCTACCAAGAACTCATAGTCATCAACAGCTGAATTATAATTATCAGAGAATAAGTAGAACATCAGGTACCACTGTATAAACACAAATTGTATGTTTTGAATTCTTTAACAAATATTCATGGTGAGTAGGACAGACACGGTCCTAGCTGGCATGGAGCTCAAATCCTTGTGCAAGAATTCTAGTCAACCCATCAAACATTTGGGAAGAGCAATGCTATGAAAAAAAGAAGCATTAAACTCAATCTCTGTTTTCAAAAAGAGCTAACACTCAAGGGAAAAAAAGTTAATAGAGAAAACAGAGGAATTTAAGTATAATTACTATTCTTACAGAGATTGAAAGCATATTGTATCTTTAAAAATAGATATGAGAAAATTTTGAGCAAACATTCACATTTAGACACATCTTTATAAAATCCTAGAACACCAAAGATAAGCCACATGTGATGGTGCACGCGTATAATCCAAGCAGCTCAGGAGGCTGAGGCAGGAGGATTGAGAGTTCAAAGCCAGCGTCAGCAAAGCAAGGCACTAAGCAACTCAGTGAGACCCTGTCTCTAAATAAAATATAAAATAGGGCTGGGGATGTGGCTCAGTGGTCCAGTGCCCCTGAGTTCAATCCCTAGTAACTGAGAGAGAGAAAGAAAAAAAATAAGAAAGAAAGGAAAATCAAAGATACAGAGAAAATCCTGAAGACCATCAAAGTCAGAATAAGTATAAGAAATTTTCAGATATTCAAGGACTAACTATAATCCAAGTTTAAAAGATGTATTTAAGAATATACTTGATAAAATTAAAAAATGAAACAAAAAATATTGAATGAAAAAACAATTGCAGAAAGATGGGAGTTTAGTATCATTTATAAATCATGTTAAAATACATAAAATAACATTACATACTTTTATAAAAATATGGTACAGGACTTTCGCTTAGAAAAGAGGAAGGAAGAAATGCAGTCCCCTTCATTAGAATCACAGATGATATTGACATAGGGAAGGGAGTAGGAAAGGGAGTAAGCCAGAGGAGAAATGTGAAACTTTACGTCCTTCTTGTTCTAGTGAAAAGTAGGGATATTAAATCTAAATATAAATAGTAAAGTATATTAAAATTTTAAATTTAACCATTAAAAATAATTTTGGAATAACTTTTTATTTCCAAATCATCAGAGGAAGGAAATGACCCTGTAGCATACCATGTGCAATTATCTCAATAATCACAATAATTGTGAAATAATTAAATTCACTATTAAGATAAAGAGGCAATCACATTGGAGTTTTAAAATGTCCAGCGACATGCAGTTCACAAAGCATATAATAATGAAACATGTACCTAAGATAAAATGACATAAAACAGGTGAAAATAAAGAAATGCAAAAAAAATTATAACAAGTCAATAATCTCTTTAAAATTAAATACAGCAGTATTAACACAAAGCAAATTAAATGAAAGAACTTTGCATCGAATGGAAAAGGAACAAAATTTTCTATTAACAAAATATGCAATCAGTTAAACTGTAGCATTTCAAACGTTTAATATCTATTAAGTTAACTTCAAAAGAAAAAATACAAAAACGAGAAGAAAACGACTTCCATAATCAGTGTAAAATTTAACATACCTTTCTCAAAAGACTACATTTCAAATAAGTAGTAAAGATGAATATAAAGGATTTAATAAAATTGACTATATAAATCTACATTACGGCGTGTGCGCGCGCACACACACACACACACACCAACAGAGAATATAATTAATAAACAGTTTAAAAGTTAACCATGTCTTAGGCCTCCCAAAAAGTCTGAAAAGCATAGAACACAAATCATATTCTCTGAGTGTACCTCAATACCATAAAGAGAGTAGATTAAACCTGTTTCATTAAGACTGGCATCAGATAGGGAAAAACCTAAATGATAAGAGGGTATGGAAATGGGCATTTAAGATAATATTAGGAGGGATTATAAATTTGCATTGTCATTTTACAAAACAACTTGAGATTATCTATAAAAATTTTAAATGTGCACACCTTTTGACCCAACAATTGTACCTCTATAAAACCCTCTTATAAAAAACCTACATATAATCATAAAACAAATATACAACAGTACATAGTCCAACACTAATTATAACAGCAAAAAGTAATCAATAGTAAAATGGTCAAGTGATTTATAGTATACTAATTTCATAAAATGTCAAGCCTTGATATGTAAAGAATCTCCAAGAGAAAGTGTTTTGCTCTTTTAAAAAACATATGTATCATTTAGATTTTGTTAAGACGCAAAATGAATAGTAAGCAATGTGGAAGATTGCACAACAGTTTACATCTGGAGAGGGATATGATGAAGAACTTCACATTTTAGTTTACATGTCTCTGAGTATTTGAATCTCTTATGATTTGCACTGCTTGCTTAATTAAAAAAAAAAGATGAAAGAAAAGCAGTAATTGTTTTAAATGTCTTATTTATTTCCCAGAAAAAAACTGGGATCTTTCTGTTCCTAGCAGAAATTTGATAAACCCATCTGAGAATACAGAACAAGTATAAACATTCAATCCATACAATAAAATACTTGCTGTTTCCTTTGTTAAGGAACAGACAGATAAGGATGGTGGGAACACAAGGTTAAGAGAATAATTCTATAAAACGGGCCCACTGTGCTTACCCCACATGCTTTCTTTTCCAAGAAGTAATTTACCTGCAGTCCAGCCTGGCTTAAGGGGACAGGATATGTCACATTCCTCAGCAAACTACCTGTTAACTGCAGGAAATATGCAGACCCAAGATGATGTTGATGGGAGGAACCCAGACTTTTGTGATCAGATCCTGAAACTCTAGGAGACAGGATAGTTCTTCCTGGTTAAGAATCCAGTTAGAATCAGTCAGTATGGCCCAAGGTGACATAGAGTTGCCATAGCAATGGGTACTTGAAAGTCTGATGTCCTGTTGCTGTTAGTCAAAAGTCAAAAGGTTGTCCTGGGTGGGACTCTCTGGAAACTTCTCTGGGATCCCCAATAAAATTGGAGTGCAGGAGAAGCATGTGGTCCCTCTCCTCTCTTAGAGGACCCATTTTCTCCCTTGAGAGTATCCCCTTTCCCTTTTCCTATGCCTTTAATAAACTTATTCCTGTTACTCTAAGCAACATGTCTGAAATCTTGCTGACTTGATTTCAAGAATCAGGGTTTGATGAGTAATCAGGGTTTGATGAGAGGGTCTTCGAGTTGCCTCAGTTTCTTGGAAGGCCCTCGCTCTGTAACACCTTCACTAGGAACCCTCTACCCTTGGCCATGGCTCACCATTTCACATCCTTCAGATTTTCCACTTAAATATCATTTTTTTTTCCTGAGGAACTGTCCCTGACTTTTCAATATAAAATGACAATGGCCTATACCCATCTAACACTTCACTGCTTCCTTATCTTGATTCATTTTTTTACTAAAATAACATACCACCCACTTCTTAGTATCCTTATCTTTATAAGGGGGATAACAGTCCTACTCCCAGGGCTGTGTCTAGCCTTAAGAGAACTGTAAGCTCAGGTGAGTTTAGATGAGTAATGGACACACACAAAAAAACCATATAAGCCTTTGACTTTTTGTTGATGATGGTTTTGTTTATTGTTTGCTTCCTCCCGTTTGAATGACAACTCCTGAGGCAAGGACTACGTCTATTATTGTATCCTGAATGACTGGAAAGTGCTTACCAGTAAGTATTCATGATTGTTGAAGCCTAATCTAGTACTGTAGTCTATATACAGACAGCTGAGATTACAAGAAAAGACCAATTACTTTCAGTAAAAGCAAGATTTCTGCATGTTAGCATGAATCATCTGTAATAACTCAATCTACTTTAAAAGTATATTTAGCAGCATGACTCCTAGAAATTTCAAGAAGTGAAGCAGTATAGTACCATTAAATTCATTAATTTTTTAACACCAACATGACAACAGAAGCTATAACAGTGTGGAGTGGGAAACAAAAGCAAAACTCACTTTTCATCTCCACTTCTGAGGCATGGCTGGTAGAGGACCTTGATAGCATTCCAGGCAGAACTGAAGTCTGCTTTTAATGTATCTTCCAAAAGGGGGAACTTTTTGATATGGTCGGAACTCAAAGATTCAATCACCACACTGTCTGAGTTTAAAAGCCAGAGCTAAAGGTGTGAAGAGAAAAATCCACGTATGAGGATATTGCCACCCTATTTGTATTTTAAGCTACTATTAAAAAGAAAAAAAAAAAACTATTCAAAAAAAATAGAGGGGAACCAATCACATAATTTCAAAATGAGGTAGGCTTTTCAAAGCACGATATTTAATAGTGCAACCAACATCATAAAGTTAAAAAAAAAGACAACTAATGAGGAGAAAATATTCAATATGTAAATAACAATGTAACTATCTATAATCTATAAATGTGTAGCTTCTGGAAATAAGTAAGGGGCAAAAAATAGCCCAATAGAAAAATAGGCAAAGAATAGTAACCAAATTAACAAGGAATGTAATAAATGAAAATTAAAACGTCAATAGGACTAATAATAAGGAAACGCAAAATTTCAATGCCACTATTTTTTACCTATGAGATTAGATTAAAAAAATATTGTAAAAAGATTGGAAACATCCATCTCAGAATGGTTTTGGAATGAGTATTCCCTAAGTGCTAATGGAGGAGTGTTTGGGGATGCAGAGGTATGTGATTCACTGAGATACTTTCAGGAGAACAGGAAAATATGAGGGAAAGACCTGCAAGGATGCAGAATACAAGCTCAGCAGGAGTTGGGCTTCAGCCTGATCCATGGGGAGATCCTGAGCTTGAATTATACCTACAAAATTGGCCCCACCTTGAGGCCAAGGCCTCAGCTTTTTGTGGCCCAGATTCAAATCACTGACAGGCTGACCAGGGCAGGAATGGATATGGGACAGTAAGAAAAGGAAACCTCCTCAGAAAGTCAACATCATTACCCAAGGCAAGTTTCTGGAAAAGGGAACATCTATGAACTATTGGCATCCAACACTGTCAGCAGCTGGGAATGGGTGTAGCAACACAGTCAACCAGATCTAAGTGGGGCACCAAGAACATCCATTGTAAAAGAACAATAATAGTACAATGTTTTACAAGGTGATTACCATCTGAGTTTATATCATATAAATCCAATGCTGTATTAGAGTAGAAAGATTCATTTCTAAAGAAGCACTAAAATGCATGTGCAAAGATTTTTTGTAGCATGTCTTTTATAATTGTACAATGGAACTCAGTTATTAAAGAGTAAGACCTACACTTACACTAACAAAAAATAATCCTTAATGATCTATTGTTATGAGAAAGAAAGCATGTTACAAAAAAAATTATGATCATGTCATACTGTTTCACTTTCATAAACAAAAGTTGTATATGGATAGAAAAATATTAACGTTCACACATCAGACTATTAAGATAAATTACCTCTAGAAAGCACTATGTGATGGGGAGGAGAGGGGACAAATGGGGAAGCTAACATTTCTTTATGTTCTTCATGTTGTCTGAATGTGTTTCAAGAATGTACTATTTCCATAAAAAGGAAATTTTTAAAAATTTAAATATCTATTAGAAAAATTTTAAAGTTCCTACTCCTGATGTTCAACTTAAAAATCTTACAAGAAAAGAAAACTAAACTTGTGTTCAGACTTTGACTATGAAGTTACAATTACATTGTTATTTATGTATTTATGATTTAATATCAACTGAAGTTGGAAAATATATTAGCCTGCCACAGAAGTTCTCTGGAAGTAGAGAAGCACAGAGTTCCCAAAATGGATGGCCAGCAGCAAAACCATACATAACTCTACCCCAGGCCAAGGCATTCTTGTTCTACCTTAAGCACCTAGAACAGTGCCTTTCAAATAAGAAGTGTTTCATGTATATTAACTGGTTGAATAAAACAGATGTACAGACTGAGGAGACTTGGTCCATGATGCTTTGGTTTTCAGATAAATGCCCCAGATTCATTTCTGCAAAGCATTATTTTTAATAGAGGTAGTGTAATATTAGACCCTTGTGGTATACGTAAGGGATGAGTGCTAACCACAGAGCCTTTTCTCCCAAACTTGCCACTTTCTCAAACATCAAGATGTCAGAGGTAATTAAAAAATAACAGAAGCAATAAAACATATTTTAAAGTTAAGAGTATCAAATAGCCCAGTAAGGGGAAAAAAAGTATCAAATAGAAAGAAAAAGAAATACAGACAGAATGGTATTATACTGACCATTAAAAACAGAGTGAAAACACTTATTTTGTGTATGAGCTACTTAGGGGAAGGAATTAGGTTTTCTTTCCTTCTGTATCCCTAGAACCTAATACATGGAAGTACCCAATCATTTGTCATAAAGTTAAGGAAGGTTGACTTATGAATTAAGCTGATATTAAATATTCAATTCTTGATCACTTAACTTCTAGACCTATGAACTAAGAAAAAATAAAAACAAAAGAGAAATTTTCTGAGATCTTGGATTACTAGGCTTAAAAAAAACTGGACAGAATGAATTCTTACCAAGATGTACACTTTGCCATCCTGATCTTGAATAGTGAATCTAAAAGTGCTTCTAGCAGAGGAGAGTTCCACCAGACACTGGGCAATAACACTCTGGACAAACTGAGACCTGTTTGAACAGAAATCAATTATTATCCAAAGTACAGTGACTCTCATAATAACTCTAGTAAGATAAGCCAAAATTACATATAGGGTACCTAAAAGGCAGAAACATCAGCATCCCCGACTTTTCTATCCACTGCCCCTTCCCTCACAATCTGTGGTAATGTGGATTTTAGTGTATTTATGTTTGCTCCATTCTTCTTAAAATCTATTCTCCAATTAGTAATACAGTTGCCACCCAAAGCTACCGATTCCTCTCTATTGAATAAAAAAATACCATGTTAGTGATAGTAGATATTCCATTGATGATATACACATTAAATAGTGGATAGCTAGGTTACAAAAGAATGTGAGAAATTTCCTTCCAAACATTGTATAATCTGCATTTTCTTTTTTCATTTAGATCTCCTTAAAGTGACAGCTCTATGGTTCAGAAAATATTTATAGAATGATAAAATACAAGTTTATGTTCAGGTTGCCATAATTTTTGGATATCATAGATATACTAAAGACTGTCTATGGTTAACTTTTGTTTGCAAACCGGAAAAGATGAAAAGAAAAGAAAAATTAATAGATTTAGATCCTGAAGATCTTTTATTTTGAAACACAGAAATAATTTGAAACGGATCTATGTTTCAAATTTTAAATAGGTCAAATGAAAACCAGAAATAATTTTTCAAAAACCCATTGATGCCGGTGTGTAGCACAGGCTTGTAATCTCAGCAATTTGGGGCTGAGACAGGAGTATTGCAAGTTCAAAGCCAACCTCAGCAATTTAGCAAGGCTCTAAGCAACTTAGTGAGACCCTGTCTCATAATAAAAAATAAAAAGGAGGGCTGGGGTTGTGGCTCAGCGGTAGAGCACTCGCCTAGCACATGCGAGGCCCTGGGTTTGATCCTCAGCACCACATAAAAAAATAAATAAATAAAGATATTGTGTACAACTAAAAAAATAAAATATTAAAAAATAAAAAATAAATAAAAAGGATTTGCAGGTAAATGGATGGAGTCAGAGAAGATAATGCTAAGTGAAGTTAGGCAATCCCAAAAAACCAAATGCCAAATGTATTCTGTGATATAAGGAGGCTGATTCATAGTGGGATAGGGAGGCGGAGCATGGGAGGAATAGAGGAACTCTAGATAAGGCAGAGGGGTTGGGGGGAAAGGAAGGGACAATGGGGTTATTAATGATGGTGGAATGTAATGATCATCATTATCCAAAGTACAGGTATGAAGACAGGAGTTGGTGTGAATATACTTTGTATACAATCAGAGATATGAAAAATAGTGCTCTATATGTGTAATAAAAATTGTAATGCATTCCACTGTCACATATAAATAAAAAAAATAAAAAAGGTTGGAGATTTCATTCTGTGATAAAGCATCCCTGAGTTCAATGTCCAGTACCTAAAACAAACAAATAAAAATCAAAAAAAACAAGAAAAAGATTGATGATTATGTTATAAAATTCTGAATCTCTGGCACATAGAAAGAAGCACAAAAAACTTTCAGAATTAGAAGATTTATATGAACATATTTACATACACCAGATAAGCAAAACATAAAGAAATAAAACCTCAAATTGTTTATATGTGTAGTTGGGCTAAAGTATTTCAAAACTTTTCTCTAAGGCATTTCCCCTTTCCAAATTAAAAAAATTATGAATAAAAATGAATTCTTAATCAATTATACCTACAAAATTACGTAATAAATTTAATTTGCTGTTTGTACCTTGGTATGATAGGAAAACTTCTCTCAGATGGTTGAATAATTATCTCTGTCATATAAAACTTAGTGGTTTCTAGAAACAAAAAAAAAAAAAGAAAGGAAGTTAAGAATCTTCCCAATATATTAATATTTTTATTGTGGGTGTGTTGGTCCCAAATTATGACATTCCAAACTAAATATTCAATTATGACCATTCAGTAAACATTTTTCCAAAATGATTTTGTATCAATAGAAAAAACACTGATAACTACAAGAAGATATTTCTGAGATCAAACAGCACAGTGTCTGTTTAGAATGTCATGCTCAAATGTGAATCTGTAGCAGCAAAACAGTTTACACATACAAAAGGTTATAAAAATTAGTCACATCACAGTTTTAGCCCATTTACATAAAAATTAGGCATTGGATTTCCTCATTTCTACTGAATAGCCACAAATCTGAAAGGCAGTGAAAAAGGCTTTTCAGTTGTAGAATCCAAAAGCCCATGCACAGATGCTATAATCCTGATACCAGTATTTACCCAGAATGTACAGTTCTCACCAAAGCTGTTTATCTGATTACTTAGTTTATGTAAACAGTAGGCCAGATATTCAATAACCATTTTGGGTTGCTTTAGAAAATCCATTAAAAATGTTTTGTTAAAAAGGGACATCCAAATCAAAACAAGTATTTTTTAGCATCAAACTGTTTTAAATGATAAGGTGTAGTACCAGATGGGCTTATAAGAAATGGATATGCTATCATAACTAAAGATGATAGATTTCTTAGAAGCAGAAGGCCTAAACTTTTGTATATATATTTGACACCATAATTAAATACTTAAGAATTATTTTAGCTGGGTGTGATGGCAAACACCTGTAATCTCAGCAATGGGGAGGCTGGAGGATCACAAGTTCAAGGGCAGCCTCAGCAATTTAGCAAGATCCTTAGCAACTTAGCACAACTTTGTCTCAAAAAAAAAGAATAAAAAAATCTGGGGATGTAGCTCAGTGGTAAAGCACCCAGGGGTTCATCTGTTCAATCCCTAGTACCAAAAAAAAAAAAAGTATCTTAAAGAAATATCAATAAAATATGTAAAAATTTATCTATAAAGATGATCATAATAATATTAGTAGAAAAATGCTGAAAACAAATTAAAATGTCTAAAAGTTAAGGATGAATTAAATAATTGTATATTTGGCAACAGAATTACATGCATGTTTTAAATAGGCCAAATTAAATAATTAATGACTTTAATAAGTCAAGTTATTCCTAGTAATTTTTTTAAGAAGTTCCAATTGCTCAATATAACAAAAGGGCAAAAAAATTTAAAATGCTTTACTTATTATATATATATAAATCCCAGTTACTATTGTTGTTGTTCTATACAGTTAATATTCATTTCATGTTGTTCTATACAGTTAATATTCATTTCATGTTGTTCTATACAGTTAATATTCATTTCATGATTTCTTACCAGTCTTTCTTGAATTATCTGGGGTCATTTTCTTCTACCTGACTACAGGTAGAATTTTTCTTACCAAGAAGTCACTAGTGGTAAATTATCCTAGTTTTTGTCTTTCAGAAAACATATTTATCTTTGCCTTCTTTGTGGAAGGATACTTTCACTTGATATAAAGTCCTAGGGTTAATGGTTATTGCTTTGTGCACATTGACAATATCATTCCACTGTCTTCGAATTTCCATTACTGGTGCTTGTTTGAAGGTTATCTGTCATTTTTCTTTGGTTGCTTTTAAGATTTTCTCTTGGCTTTTCATTCTCCAGTATTACTGGGATGTATCTAGGTATAGATTTCTTTTCATTTCTTACTTGGGCCTCACTGAATTGGAATTCATTGTGCCTCTTGAATCTGTAGATTGTTGTTTACTTTTACAAAATTCTCAACTGTTCAAATATTGCCTGTATTTCACTCTTTTCCTCTGTCTGGAAGGTAGATTTTCATCCATCTTCTGTCCATTAATTCTTTCCAAGTTGTACCTGCTTTGCTATTAAACCAGTCTCTGAATTTTTAATATCAATTATAATACAGCATGTTTTTAGAAATTCCATTGTGGCTCCTCTTCAAAGATACATACTGTTATTGTTTGCTTTTTCATTGCACTGTCTTTAAATATGTCTTTTACATTGTTAATTATACTAAGCAGTATTCTTTTATATTTTGCTTATGATCATTCCAGTAAAAGCTTATTTCCATTGTCTGATATATTTGTTAGTTCTTACTGATAGAAGTCTAGCTAACTTGTGTCCATATTTATCTCTGGTTATATGTTGAACACTGTACTTGAAAAATTATTTGTGAGAATAACACTATTTTTTCCAATGAAAGTGTTTCCCTCCAGAAGTGATATGCATTTGATTTTGCCAGGTACCTGCTATTCTGTCAGAACACACTGAATTCAAGATTTGAAATTCCCTAAAAACCCCAGGAATTGATACCTATTTATAATTCTACAGGACTGTTCCCCTTCTAACTCACTTCACTGTGAGGGGATGGTCTTTAGAATCTCATGTTTTTGTAGAGACAATCACCCATTAAATTTCCCATCTTGTGTAGTCTTTCATTTCTGTCCTTCCTTCTCAAAGCAATCAAAACAAAAATTCTAATTATAGAAAACAGGCAAACTGCAGAAAAATGTGACTTTGTGTGTACCTTTTTTGAATCTGCTTTTGTGGTAATTTATCCTTATATTTTCCACTTCCCCTGTTCTTTTTTCCTTCTTGAGTATTCTAGTTACCATCTGGTACCTTTTGCTTCAGCCTGAAGAATTTCCTTTAAGATTTTTTTTTTTTAATTTTTTTAGAGCAGGTCTGTTTGTAACACATTATTTCACATGTTTTATCCAGGCTCATCTTTATTTTTTAAAGACACTTTTGCTGGATACAATATGGTTGGCTGACAGTCTTCTTTTGGTGAGAGGGGTACCAGGGATTGAACTCAGGGCACTTGACCCCTGAGCCACATGCCAGACCTTATTTTTAAAAAATATTGTATTAGGGACAGGGTCTCACTGAGTTGCTTAGCACCTTGCCATTGTTGAGGCTGCCTTTGAACTCTTGATCCTCTTGCCTCAGCTTCCAAAACCTCTGGGATTACAGGCATGCATCATTACACCCAGCCAGTTGACAGACTTTTTACCCTAGCACTTTGCATATTTATTTTGATGTTTTTTGGAGACCATGATTTTTAGGAGACGTCCACCTTAATTGTATCATGAAATCCCTATTTATGATGTTTTGTTTTGCTCCTGTCAAATTTCAAGATTCTCTCTTCCTCTTTAATTATAAGAAGTTTCGATGCTTGGAGTTCACCGAAATTCTTAGATCCCAGAGTTAATATTTTTCACCAGATTTGCCAAGATTTAAGCCAGTTTTTTCTGTAATTATTTTTCTGACCCTTTCTTTTTCTCCTTACCTTCTGAGAGTCCACTTATACACTTGTTGTAACACTTGATATTGTCCCACAGATCTAAGGTTCTATTCAGAATTTTTCCTTTGGACTGGTTAATGAGTATTAATCTACAAGTTCAATAATTTTTTTATCTTCTGTTGTCTCAAATCTGTGGTTTAGATCATCTAGTGAATTGTAGTTTCAGTTATTACACATTTCAATTTTAAAATTACCAATTTGCTTTTTCTTTAAAGTTTCCAACTTGTTGATATTTGCTACTTGTTCATTCAAGGACTTTTCTCTTTTAATTCCTTACCATATTTATATAGCTACTTCAACATATTATTCTGCTAAATACAACATTTGTATTTACTCGGTCTATGCAATCCTTTTTTGTTCCTTCAGTATGAATCACTTTCCTATTTCTTTGCATATATCATAATTTGTAGATAGAAGCAAGAAAATGTATGTAATATGTTGTAGCAGCTCTGAATTTTGTTTTGTTCTTCTGAGGATTGTTGGTTTAATGGTTTAGTGATCAATTAACTGGCCTGAACTTACTGTGAAATATGTTCCCCCTGCCCCACAGTTTGTAGCTGCTAATGTCACTGCTAAGTTTTATTTTGTTTAGTCTGGCTCTCTAGAGTATCCACTGCCACTAAGGTGTCTCAGAAAAAAGTGCTTTCTGTTGCTCAGGTTGTTTGTGGATTAAGGAATGCAATCAAAGGCACAGCAAATTCACAGGTCTAAGTTTTCAATTCTTATTGAAAATACACGCAATAAATACTTCCTGGCATCTATTGTATGCAGAGTTCAGTAGTCAGCCAGACTTGTATGAAGAAGTTATTGTATTGGCCCTTCTATCACCTTTTTTTTTTTGTATTTTTTTATTGGTTATTCAAAACATTACAAAACTCTTGACATATCATATTTCATACATTCGATTCCAAAATATCCCCCCCCACTTAAATTTCTACTTTCTCTGTCACCTACCCTGAATTGAACTCAACACCTGTAAACAATACATTTGTAGGATTTCTCTGCCCAAGTTCTGGAGGCAAGAGACAGCAAGGCCTACTCTGTGGGCAAAAAGATCACAAACTTGCCATTCTTTCCCAATGCAGTAGTATTTTTTCATGACTAAACACTTCTCAAATTGTTGTTTCACTTCGTTCATTTTCCAGTGCCATAATATTGATATTTAATAATTTGTTTAACTTGTTCAGTTTGTGCTTGCTTTTTGTGGTACAGATTTGTCCATCCTCTTACCACCACCATTTGGGGAAGTGGAATTCTATTGATTTTGAGTTGATGTGGATGTAGTTCTATTAAACCACCCCATATACACACACTCACATATTCTGATATTCTGATATACTTATGAATTACATCATAATGTATGGTTAAATGAATACCCAGTATTTACATTATTATGACCAGAAATGATATCCTGGCAAGTTTTCCTTTCTTATTCTACCTTGTGTTTTTACTGTAGTAAATAATTTTCATTTGTTTAGTTTTCCAAGCAACTTTAGGTAATTCTTCCCATATAATGAAATGGTTTGTCTCAATAATATCAACATTATTTGTTACATGTGGAAAATTTTATTTATGATGGGAAAAGTCTTTATTACAATCCTCTCTCTCTCCTCACTTCAATCAGGCTGTTTTTCTGTGGTACAGCTATACATCTCAAGGCCTTTCTTACCTTGTTCCTCTATATTGGATAGCCTATTTCCCCAATCTCATGTCATCCCTTTCTAGGTTGAATCTCTCATTTTTTCCCCCATAGGAATGATAGATTTCTAAGGAAAATATACCTTTTAAGTCTGTTTTGAAACCTTATTATTTCCAAAATAGATAATAAAATAAAATAAATAAATAAAATAAAAAAGATAATAAATAAATAATCTTCACATCTGACTGATGATTTGATTTTGTAGAGAATTCCAGGGTGAACTTTTTCCCCCTCAAATTAGGAAGACATTGCTTGATTGTCTTCTAACTTTCAGCTCTACTTTTAAAAACTTCCATGCTTTCCTAATTCCTAATATATTATACACTAACTGCTTTTCCCCTTCTGGAAACTTCATCCTTATTGTTGTAAAGTTTCTCAGTGATATTATTTCCCTTTTCTCCCTCCACTACTAAGGCACTCCATGATCCTTGTAGTTGAGGAACTGCCAAGCATGCTCCTAAATAATTTGCTTCTATGTCCTATTTATATTACTATCATTTCCTCTCCATTTCTCTTCGTCTTTGTATACATACATCTTTGTATTCCTAAACTGTCGTTTTAACTGGACCTCAGGGAGGAAAGAAAAGAATTTAAAAATCAATTCATCTTATTGAAAAACCCTAAATTGGAAACCTTAAGTTTTCTAAGGAGTTTCTTGTGGGGCTTGTTTTCATTCTCCAAAAATGACTTTGAGGATAGCATCCTTTTCTGCTCACTTTGAACAAGTAATTACTTAAAAGACTCTGATGATTTAAACAAACAAAATATAGCACCATCTGCTTTCCTTTAAGTACAATAGCTTCACTTACATTATATCTTCTAACTAATTATATTAAAAGTGATTATTCCTCACCTGCAAAGCTAACACAGCATGTTGTAGCTCTCTACACATTTTAAACCATATCTTTAAACAGCATTTTAATTATCAGGATTTTCATTATTATATTTAAAGTAGTATAACATAGAGTTTACATAAAATATAATTAACACCATTGGGAAAAAAGAATAAGGAACAAAGTATAAAACTCAGAATGTGGTTTCTTCAATTTCAATATGTCCTCTCCCACCTCCAGCCCCAAAATACAGCCTTGAGGCAGATGGCAGCCAAGAAAAGTAACTTCTCCAACTCTTCTAACTGTCAGGTTGTACTGAGGAGAGGGATCCAATTTCTTTAAGATAGATCCAAGTACAAACTTTGTACTATTGCTTTATACTACAAATAAGATAAGAAACATTGAAATGACCCAACTTCTCAATGCTTAAAAGTCAATACAATATGCACATAAAATATACAAACTTCTATACATATTGGATGATATGTTAATTGTTTTCTATTTTAAAAAGCACCAATTCTATAAAATATATTATTATCCATGTATCTTTTCTATGTATTTTTTATAAAATCTCCTTCTGGCTTTTAAAAAAGAAGGCAATCATTTTGGCTTCTTGTTTATGAAATTCTTACCTGATGACATGATCTCTCCCAACATTACCTTGCAACGGTTACAAATTACTTTGGTATTTGCTTTTGGTTCCTGTAGAACAGAAAAATGTCATTTAAATGTCATTCAGCTTTCCTTAAAAGGAATATATAATTTTAACATAGTCCCCAGAGTATACATTGAACTTTACATTTTATGCTGCCCTCTACTAAATACTGGGAATGCATTTAGCTTGTGTGCATAATTCACATGCACAGAGATAATTTCCTTTTTCTGCCTTAAGATAGAATGCACACATTGGCTTTTTCAAACCTAGCCACTTCTTGATAATCCAAATGTTGCCAATAATCTGAACAAGAAGCACTTTACATTTCTAAAAACTATTTCCAAATAGCCATAATTTGAAATGGGCAGATGGTGGGCAACAAAGGCAGAGAGAGTTAATGACTTGCCCCCACTCATGTGTATAGAATACAGAAGAATCAGAATTTGAACTCATATTGTTTTGACTCCTAATCGAGTGTAATTTATGTGTAAGTAACCTATAATTTATAGCCTCCCATAATTCAGAAGTTAAAATTATCTAACTTGTTCATAAAATTCTATTTTTTTTTCCATTTAAGATATGCACTATAAACAGAAGGATGAATAGTGTCATTGAGACAAATTCCTGGAGGATTCTTAGATTTCAAAACTTCTTAGACTTCAAAAATTCAAATTCATTATGTAGGATACATGTTAATTAGCTTGCATTCACCAAATTTGTAAACAAAGAATGCTTCCTTTCAAATACATAGTAATAGCTCTGTTAAAGCCATAAAACATCCCTCCCACCCAGATATACTGCAACATGGCACACATCATGAAGAAATGGTCAAGGAAAAAGAACTCTGCAACTCTGGACATAAGGTCATCCCTTCTGGAAAACTGCAGAACAGTGTAGGGTGAAGTGAGAAGGGCAGTGGCTCTCTGATATGGAATAACATATGTATTAATTAATGGAATAAGTTAGTGGATCAGTATAAATTTGAGTACAAGTAATTTTCCTTGATATAAATGAATATTTCCTGACAAGTTGCATAAGATGCACATTTAAATTTAGTTCCATAGACAAGCTGCTAGTAACTGAGAGAGTTTAAGCTTGAATCCAGATAAAAAGCTTATGCTTTTAAGCACTATGCTCAGTGTTTTCCAAACTACAGGTCATATGTCATTAGTGGGAATCAATTCATGGAATTAATTCCATGGGTTATAGCTTGTCTTTAAAAATACTGAATAGAAAGCATGACTGCTTCAAACATCAGGTAGGTATTACTTCAAGAAATTTTTACTTGTAGTGTGTTTATATAGCGTACACATGCATGTGTGTGTATGTGTGTGTGTGTGTGCATGAATGTATATATGATCAGACATTGATGTAAAAATATATCTCTTACTTTAGTTAAAAATCAAATAGTCAAAAGCAATTGTACAACTTATACTGGGGTCCATATGTCTGACTCACTCTTTTACCCAGCCTCAAATCCATGTTATAGTGAAAATCCATAAATACTCCCCAGCTCTTTTCCATATCAATGATTCCTGAGATGAATCCTTTCATATGCTGAAGAAATCTACGATAATATAAAAACATATCCTATTTTTCCCCGGTCTAGCCACAGGATTTGCACAGATTCTCTGGTCTTTCTCTAAAAGTCTCTGCTGAGGAAACAAGCAAATATGAACTCTTTAAATCAGCTCACACCTGGCTCAAACATTTATCAAGGTACACCAGGTGGGGCCCAGGGACAGTACCATCCCTGGCCAGGACACTGATAACCTTGCATCCAGCACATTGCACATAGCAGAAGCAGAGTCTGGCCAAGATGAGTGATGGGATAGTGTCATTGAGACAAATTCTGTCTGTTCTGAGGAACAGACAGAAACAAAGGAAGGTACCAGTTTGCTCAGTTCCAGGAAGAGAGCCCTGATAGCCAGTATGCTCAATTGTAAGGGTAGACCTTCTGGCAGTTTCATGCTTTTTACAATAAGATCTATCTATACAGTTCCAAAGAGGTGCTGAAAATAATTTTTAAAGGATGTTATTTTATACAGGTGGAATTTGACCATTTTCATTAAATCTTATCAAAAAATGTAAGCATTTTACTAAAACCTAATATCAGGTATTGGTACAGCGAAGTTTGTGAAGAAAGAATTTTTCTATTCAAAGCAGAGAACTGTCAGGTGCTTTATTATGCAGTTCATCTATAATTGTTTTCACATAATATTTCTCATTGTCTTTCAAGTGAGTAGGCAAAGTGTTTTATTCTTTGGGTGTTTGTTTTTAAAATAAGATTCTACCCTTATCAGACATGAGTGATCAGAATCTTAAAATCTGATCAACAACTAGCTGGGTGTGGTGGTGCATGCCTGAAATCCTTATAATCCCAGTGATTTGGAAGGCTGAAGCAGGACGATTGCAAGTCTGAGGCCAGCCTTCATAATTTAGCAAGATCCTATCTCAAAATAAAATAAAAAGGGTTGGGGGTGTGGCTTAGTAGTAGAGAGCCTCTGTATTTAATATATAGTACCACACATAAGCAAAAAAAAAAAATCTGATCAATAACAAGCAAATTAGCTCAAACAACCAAATTAATGGATCTTCATTTAAATAAACCTATAGTAAAAGATGCTTTTGCAGAGAACAGAGTATTAGGGATTTAACTCAGGGGAACTTGATCACCAAGCCACATCCCCAGCCCTATTTTGTATTTAATTTAGAGACAAGGTCTCACTGAGCTGCTCAGCGCCTTGGTTTGCCGAGTATGGCTTTGAATTCGAGATCCTCCTGCCTCAGCCTTCAGAGCTGCTAGGATTACAGGCATATGCTACCATGCCCAGCATAAAAGATATTCTTAAGGCAATTAAGAAATTTTGTCAGGGCCTGATATTCTATCATTTATTATTATTAGGTGTGATAATGACAGTAAGGTTTTGTAAAAAAAAAAATCTGTATTTTTAGACATATATTCTGAAACATAATACTGGATTTTGCTTTAAAAACACTTTAGCAAAACAAAAAAAACCCACTTTTTAAATCAAGACAATTGGCATATTGAAGGTCATAATATTATTCTTTTTATCTTTGTGAATGTTTACAAACTTCACCTGTTAGGGTCTGTAAACAAGTCAGGATGGGGCCTGGCAAATGTTACAGTCTGTAAACAAGTCTGGATGGCGCCTGGCATTTTGCCAGAGGGAGTGGTTTGTGAAGTAATGCCAGCGAGCCATTAAGTGTGGAGATTCCTTATTGGTTGACTACTATATCTAGTTTATGTTAATTAAGATAAGCTATGTGGAATGTATATATACCGCTCCTGTCCTACAATAAACGGCTCCCACTCCTGCTGTATCAATGTACACAAGTTCCTCGTCGCCCCGCCCCCCCCCCTTATTTTGCTGCGTCATTCACCAACATATTTTTTCTAAGAAAACAAAAGATTCACTTATGAATTTAATAAAACAAATTACCCAAACCAATAAATTATTATTCAGTACCCCAAGAATGAATAAAAAGATAAAGTTGTTGGTCATACTTATCAGTAATAGTATAATCAAAGTTCAATGCTGCTTTTATTTTTTTTATTAAACAGAATGAAGTTATAAGTCTGGCTATACTTTTTTTTTTTTTTTGAGATGGCCTCTTACTATGTTGCCCAATCTGGCCTTGAACTCTTGAACTCCTGGACTTAGGCGATCCTCTTGCTTCAGCCTCCCTTATGCCTGGGACTACAGATAGGAGTGAGCTACCACATACTGGCTATACTGGCTCATATTTTCAAAGTTTTAAATAATATGAATTTTATAAATGGTGGAGATGCCATCTTTGTCCTCCTATTCCAACAGACAAAACTGATAGTATGTTGGTACATGGGAAAAATGTACAAGAGATGACAACCAAACTGCAGGAATAGGGGAATCTTCAGCAGAAATTGTTTGAAAATAAGAAGCACATCCTGCCACAGCAGTGGAGGCACAAATAAGATTCTGTAAACTCTAAGAGAGTGCTGAAGGAACAAAATAATGTTGGGCTCTATGTGCTGTTTTTAAAATCAGATCTTTTTAATTAAGATTTTCTAGCATGTTAATTTTGTTTAAAGAGAATCTGCTTTGTAATGCATTTTTCTTGATCTACGCTTCAAGGAAATAATAAAGCAAGTTGAGTAATAAAACAGCCTAACAGTGTGGGAACTCTACAGAGCAAACCTCAAAGAAAGACATTGTTGGGGACTAATTAAATCAATATATCTGAGAGATGGCAGTGCTGCTCAGAGAGGTGGATTAGCCTCCTATCCTCGTTTTTATTTTCCTTTGTATTGTTTCAATTTCTAAGGACCCTTGATATTGTCTCGCCAAAAAAAATGTTTCCCAAGAGATACCATTAGGATTCTGTATCACCATGTGACATTTCAAACCCCTGCTAGATGGCTAGACTGGGTGATATGAGAAATAGGTTTTCAATAGCACAGAGCAGCCTTGTTCCCAGAGGAGCCTTGAGAGCACTGTTTAAGCAGTCTCTCTAAATTTATGTTACTATTTTGGTCACAGGCACACTCTTTCAACTGCTACAATATGCAATTAAAGAGAAACTTCCATCCAGACCAACTTGAAAACAATCTTGTCAACTGCAGCTTGTTATGATAGTAATTTCCCATACTGTCCTTGATAACAAAACCTGTAGTGTCTAAATATGAAGAATCTTCTTTCAATTTATAAGATAGCTGTTTACAATGAAGAGAAATACTTGTAAGTGGCATCACATAACTGACGAGAATGTAAATGTGAAGAACATATCTCAGCACAGAATAAAGAGTATCTAAAAAGGGAAACATGCCTTCTCTTATTTAATCTTTCTCCACTCTTTTTCCATTCACCCCTTCTAAATATTTTTAAGATGTAGAGTTTATTCATAAAAATGAAAAACATGTAAAATAAGTAAGTATATTTAGAGTAAAACATAAATTTAATAGAATCATCTTAAATGTAAGTATAACATATTAACTTCATACCATTTATCTCTTAAAACTACAGAATGTTAAAGTGCTTCAATTTAAAGCAAACCATATTTACATAAAGGGATTTCTTTTTGTGATGAGACATGAGGCATTTAATAACTTATAACTGACAACAACTTAATCTGGATATTTGACAAATTTCCTTCAAAATAGTTCTATAAACTAATTTATAATGTGAGAGTTGTTGTCTGAGTGTTATATGTTTCCTGTAGCAGGTCAGTTCTGATTACAAAAATTAAATGAGGCAGTGAAATTTAAAATACAATGTGTTTGTTCTTACTAGTAATCAGGTGTTGAAATGAAGATTCTCTAGCAATGGTTTTCTTTACTTTTTAAATCATATCTGTATTGACTGGCTATTGGGGAATGATTCCTTACAAGGGCCAAGTCAATGCTACTGATTTTCTTTTAAAATAAAGTAAACCACTCATTTTCTGCAATGAGAAGAAACTGTCTTCTTCCTAATGCAAATTATTTAGCAAGGGCCATTCTGATGTCATGCTGTTAAGCACCAACTTAAACACTACAGCATAAGCCTGATTTCCATTCCCCAGCTCTTTCATTTTCCTCTTTTTCCTTGATGGAATCTGCTTTTATAACATCAGCAGAAGTCTAGACTATGGGCAGACTCAGTAAAATCCCTGAATCTAATTGTATGGTACATATCCCGGTACACTTCTAATTTAAATCAGACTATTGAGATTAAAATGCACACAGATTATGAAATATTATCCAAAACAAGAAAGTAAGGCATTTGGTTTATAAAATGGTAATATTCCTAAATCTGCATGAAGAAGCTCTCTTCTCCAGCTCCTCCAACCCATGTGTGTGCTTTTGCATAAGACTCTTCTTAAATCAATAGAGCAGAGCTAGAGGACAGAGGCAGTTGAAAATAATGGATTTGAGCCTTTAGAACGGTTTCTTTAACAGGCTTTGAATTAAGAGAAGATTGGGGAAATGGGTATCTAAGCAAATCTCTAAGTTAGCATGACTGTGAAAAGATATTTTACCAATTTAAAATGATTACAGAAAAAAGCACATCTCAACTGGGAATGGTTCAGGTCTTACCTGCCACAAATCATTTCTTATATTCACCAAGAAGAAAGAATCTCCAATAAAACAGTCATTCTCTCTTGGGTGAAGTGGCTTATTAGCAAAGGGGTCAGGATGACAACACCACTCTCCAATGAGAGCTCCCCAGTTCTCACTCGGCAGTGGGAGAATCCTGAGAAGCTTCCTGGTGGAAAGAGGAAAAACAATTTTTCACAGCACAAAATGGAACTAACATTTTCTTAATTAAATCAGCATGAAAGATGAAAGAAACTCATTAGCCACATGCTTGCAATGTCAATTTCCCCCCAATTATAAAAGTAATATATACTCACTCTAGGATGATTTTGAAAATGCAAAGAGGTATAAAGAAAACAAAATTCATCCTTTTCTCACTACCCAAAGATAAGTAACTACTTTTTAACATGATGTGTATTTCTTCACCACCCTTTCAAGAGATACATTTGTGTATATACACACACACGTTGTCTGGGATCAGAGAATACATACAAACTGTATCTTGCTTTTGTTTTATTTAGTTATACTATGATTCATAATGATTATAATATTCTATTCTATAGGTTTGTCAAAACTTTATAGATCATTCCCTTGCTGTTGGATATGTAAGATTTGAGTTCTTTATTATCAATAACCCTGTAATGAATCAGTACATGTCTGATTATTCCTTGGGGAAAAAAATCTTATCAGTGGAAGACTATAAGCACAAATGATATGCATATTTTTAAGCTTAATACCCATTTGTTGACTTCCTTTTCAGAAAGTTTGTACCAATTTATAATCCTTTCACTTATCCTCTTCTTATTTGAATCGTTTTTTTCTGTCTTTGCACAAGTGAAAATATTTTCAATACTGCTTTATTGACAACTCTTAAATTACTGGTGAGACTGAACTAGTTTTTATATTGACTGGCCACTGTATTTCTCCTGTGAATTGCAATCAGAGTACTTTCCAATTGAAGCAATAGTATGTTCTTATTGATTTTTAAAATATATTCTACTATTTTATTATCCCTTTGTCTATCATTTGTTATAAATATCTTTTCAGTATTACTGTCTTTTAATTTGGTTTATATGTCTTAAGTTTTAAATCACCTAACACTTTCTTCTGTGATTTCTTCTATTACTCTAATAAATTTTTTTCTGAAATAATTTTAGATTAATAAAAAAATTACAAAGATGGTACAGATACTTCCCATATATACTGTACCCATCTTTCTCTAATGTCAATATTTTATATAACCATGATAGATATGTCAGAACTACAGACTTTAATCTGGATTACACCAGTTTTTCCACTAATCTGTGACAGTTTCTCAATCTTCATTTTTCAAGATCTTGATATATTTCAATAGTACTTGTCAGGCATTCTATAAAATATCTTTCCATGTGAATTTGCTTGATCTTGTCTTATGATTACAGTGGAATAATAGGTTTGTAGAAAGAATTCCACAAAGGTGAGGTATCCTTCTCATTATATTATATCACAGGGTATATTATATCAACATGACTTTCATTGATGATATTAATCTTAATCATCTGGTTCAGGGGTTATCTGCAGTTTCTTCCCCTAGTAAAACATTAGTAAATTAATGTATATTTAGAAGTTTCAAGTTAAAATATTTGAGCTGTGATTGTGTATTTGCGATTTAAATTAAATTTATATATATGTATGTGTGTATATATATATATGTGTATGTATATATATGTATATTTTTTTAAATAATTCCCTTGTTAACCTTCTCTTTTGTCTCCCAATTAACTGTAAGTATCACAAAAGGGCAATTCAACTTAAGAGAGGGAAGACATTTCACTTATAACTTTAGAGGACAGAGGCAAAAACAAGAAAGGCTGATTTTAGTTTAAAGTAAGGAAGAACTTTCCCTTTCAAATTAGGATATGCTGCATCATTGGCATCCTTCAAGCTGCTGGGCATATGGAGGATATTGAGAAGTGATTCTTTCAACATGCATTTCCTTGAGTATACTGTGAATCAGTCATTCAAATACATCCAGCCCTTTTTCTTAAGGTACTCACATTCCAATAGGAAATACAGACCTATAAGCAAATAACAAAGCCACATGCAAAACGTGCTTATAACAGAGTGATGGGACTCCAAACTCTTGGGGGTGGGGAGGGGTTGTATAGATTACTTTGAAAATTTGATGAAAGCATTAGCCCCTTTCCTCAAACATACATTTTCACATGTACACATAACCCGCATTTGATGTAGGGCATTCAGGATACCCAAAACCAATCCTTGAATTCAGGGCAATTTGCACAAAGTGCTAGGAAAGTAGACGTATATGAGCTTTAGAAGAGAGATAACATCTGAGCTGGCCTTTAAAGGATATATAGAAGTTCTACAGACAGTGGAAGAAATATACAGCATCATGGAAGAAAAGATATAAAGGCAGACACTGCATCTTTTTACATTACCACTATATTCTTACCTCCCAAAACATTTCCTTAAATATTTGTTGATGGAATGAACTAGCATATTTTGATAATTATAATGTGTGAGACCTCTGGCTGGGTCTACTGCATACTGGGATGAAAGGGTTAACAAAGTCTTCCCTTTGCTGCTTGAGAATCTGATCTTTGGTTTAACCACCTAGTTCTGTTACCCTGGAAACCAGGTAAGATCCTAGGCATCAAATATATTGCTAGGCAACACAGCTTACAGTAAAAATGATCCTTGATTGGTAAATTGCATCTGGACTGGGAAGAATTTGTGAAAGTGCTATGAAGATCTAATAAGAACGCCATGCTTTGAGCTTCCCTGAATGCATTCTCTTGTGGAACCCTAGAAACTAGCCAAAGAGTTCTTACAGACTTTGTCTGCCAGGGCAGCAACTACACTTGCCTGATGTGATCATGTGATTTGTACCTAAAACTGTGTCTCGTAGCCAGGCAAGAGTCCTCAGATTCTTGTATGTGAGCTGTCACTTGTATGAACTGCTGCATAGCCTTTACTGAGAAGTTTTCTTGATACTGCCCTGTTGGCAAACTGGGAAAAAATGTGTCCTGTGGTAGTTTTGTTAGTCTGCATGTTTACACACAGCATTGTACATTTAATGCTCACGATTCTGTGACAGAAGAATTACCATTCCCTTACAGGGAAGAATAGTGAGGCTCAGATTGTTAAATAATCTTCACAAGTTCACAGAATCAGAGGTGATGACTGATGCCAGGATCTTAACCCAGGTCTTCCTGGCTCCAAAATTAAACTCTTTCCCTTAGAATATATTCCCTCTGCTAGCAATGCAGAATAGCAATAGAGGAAACTGGGGAGGTGGGATGGCGGTGGACTATTTGAGGAGCCATATACCATGCCAATGGGTAGAACTCCATATTATAGACACATGGGAAGCAGTATAGTATTTTGGGAAGGGAAGTGACAGGTCAGAGTGTGATTTTTGCCAAGAAGCAAGAAGGCAAATAACTTGCCTGTTAAAAGAGTAAAGGCTTGAATAGGATCCTGGATCTTCTCCATCATTAAAACTCTCTGGGGCTGTGGCTGGGGCTCAGTGGTAGAGTGCTCACTTTGCAACTGTGAGGCCCTGGGCTTGATACTCAGCACCACATAAAAATAAATAAATAAATTAAAGGTATTGTGTCCAACTACAACTAAAATAATAATAATAATGATAATAATAATAATAACAACAACAACAACAACCTCTCTGTCTCCTGACATTCTTCTTGTAGGGCCAATAAACAGACCTTCAAAAATTCCATATGTGATCAAAGAAATGAAAATGCTTTTATAGAGATTTGGGAGATTCAATGCACATTAACAGAAAATATGGGATTTCAAACTTAACTTGACCCCATATCACACTGAATAAAAGTCATAATGCATCCTTTAACCATCTACGTAAGACATTGGGAGCAAGAAAGTGCCTAATTTCCAAGTCATTGCAATGATAAAAGAATCTTTATAACAGAAAGAAATTTTTCTGATGTTTTGAAAAAAGCCATAAAACCTTAAAGAACAAAAGGTGTATTTTAATCACAACTCTACTGAAAGTATATCTATCCAAAACCCTGAAAAATGTACTTTGATATGATCTACTTCCTGAGAGAACCTTCAAAATAAAATAGATACCATTTTTTTTTCAAGGTAGTTTAGGTTAAAAAACATCTGGAGCTAAGAAAAAAAGTGAAATGATTTCTTAATTTTTTTCTGAGCTTAAGATCAACAACATATGTTCATAATAAAATAAAATTTGCTAGTTATTTTAATGCATCATCAGCATATTCTTTTAGAAAATAACTTATGCAATTTTAATAAATTCTACTAATTAATGATGTTTTACTTGATACTTAAGCACATATATATATATATATATATATATATATATATATATATATATAGTCCTGTACCTTTAAAATCAGTCATTAGTTAGTGATCATAACAATAGTAGTAACAGGGCTTTTAGAGATGGATTAAAACCAAGTGAACATTAAGGGTCTTAAGAATAACATCAAGACTGGTTTGTGGCTCAGTGGTAGAGTGCTTGTCTAGCATCTGGGTTCAATTCTCAGCACCACGTACAAATAAATGAATAAAATAAAGGTCCATCAACAACTAAAAATATATATATATAAAATTTTTAAAAATAACATTAAACATCTAAAACTCAAAATATGGCTATTGGAATTTATATAAATTCAGGTGACATTCTCCAACTAGTAGGCCATGAATCCTCTAAAACTAGCTTTACATTTTAACACTATTATTATATAGTATGATTAGATTTTAAAAGTATAGTAATTTTATTCCAAAAGCTTATACAATGTTGCCAATAATCCAGTTTGGGCTCTGCCTTTTTTTTTTTTTTTTTTTTTTTTTTTAGTGCAGGAGATCGAACCCAGGGGCTTCTGTGCTAAGCATATGCTTTGCCACTAAGCTATACCCCCAGTTGTGCACTTTTTAATTGCTTTGTTTTCATTCACTAAAGAAGTAACTTCACTCACAGAAGTAGTTATTTTCAGGCTACAATTACAGTTGGTGTGCCAAGAGGACCAACCAAGCAGTTTGAAAATCCATCATCTCCTGCTTCCATAAAGCTCATTCTGCTGGACTCCTAGAGTTTCAATGCCCTCATGAGTGTTGGACTGAAACCCAGTGTGCAGGTACAGGTGGAAAGGTTGTACTATTCCAGAGACCTCAGGAGAATACTCCTTTCAAAATGGTCTGACAATCAAAAGGGCTGGGTCTGAAAATCTGTTGTGTTAACTAATGTCATTCAAGTCTGACATGAATTTATTTCTAAAAACCATAACAAATTTCAAACACAATGACCACTTCACTGTTTCTTAGACTATTCACAAAGTAATTTTATTATGATTGATTGATATTGTGAACTGTTTAGTTTTAACAAGAGAAAAATCAAAAACTATACATTTTTTAGACAAACTTATACATATAGAAAAACTTGGCTTATTTATAAATTAGAGAACTGTATGTTTTTAAAAAAGGCATTAGTTTCAAATAACTAAAATAAATTAGCTCAGAGCTTATGACCCTAAATAAAGAAAAAAATTGTCATTCATTAGCAGATTTCATGTGCTCATGCATTAAATGTTAAAAGCCATTAATGAATCTTATTTGGTTAAATTGTCCCTATTAAAAAAAATAAATTGTCCCTATATCTTATTTCCATAATTTGCTTGATAGCAAGTTAAAAAAAAAAAAAAAAAAAGGAACCAACTTTAGCCTTGCACTATCTAAATCATCATGATTCACAGGAAACCAAAGTACAACTTTATGGGGTTCATCAATGAGAAAATGTCATGCCAATAGGACTCTGTCAAGTTTACCTAATCCAACTTCTTCATTTTACAATGAAGAATGACTGCCCAGAAAATTAAAGTGCCTTAATTCTAAGATAAGAAAGCTAGGTACATGCTTTGTTGTATATTGCTTAAGAACCCACTGAAAGATGTCTCTGTATTTCTGTATTCAATATACAATCTTTGAATAAAAAGTTACCAATGTTCGCCAAAAAACAAAGACGACTTGGTGGCAGATATTCACTCTACCCATACCTACTAGAGGAACACCCACTACAAGTCAGTCAGCGTAGTCCATAGTATCTTCCTGGGAAAGATATTTATAATAATATGATTTTGATTATAACACAGACTCTTTTGGAGAAACTTTGGCCTGTTTTTTATTTAAGGACTACAAGAATCGTCCTTATCACTCACATAAAACAAGTAACCAAACCAAAGTGAGAAGACCATCCTGGTTGATACCAATAGTCAGCACAAGATCTCTATGCAGAGCTTGGAAGAAGCATAGCCTTTCATTGTACAGACTCACAGGGCATGCTGCCCGAGAGTGAGATGTAAGCAAAGACTTAAGTCACTTACTAAAGATTTCTCTGTGCAGCTCAAGAGGCATATGCAGGCCAGGCTCACAGATGTGGTATGAAAAGGCTTTCAGGTAAGACTTGCTTAAATGAAGTGAGAGTGAAGTCTACTGTTTATCTTCTCAGAGAGAGAAAATCAAAAAGGTGATTCATTTCTCTGATGCATAGGGACTATATGAATGAGAGTCCTGAAATAAAACTGTTTGAAACACTGAACTAGAGAATTTGCTAGTGTGCTAATAAGAACAAGTCAGAAAAGAGAGTAGAAGGAGTCTCTAAAACCAATTGAAAAAAATCTTGCCATACACCTATTACAGTGTATGTTACATTCCTTAACTCTCCTGACAAGTTTGGGAAATGGGCTTTAGCAGGTGCTGAGGCGATACAAACAAGGCCCCCCAGCACCTAAGTAGTAAGGTTGGAGTTCAAATCCAGGTTCTATTCTCCTGCTCCCCCTCTACCCTCACAGCTTCCCAGCAGTCAGGGATAGGGAGAATGAGTGCTGTCCTTCATTGTTAGCCTCCATGCCCTTCTAGTTCTCAACTCCATGATTATAGACAGAATTAAACAAAACAGAAAATACAGTTCCTGATAGGAAAAGCAGGCACTGTAGGTGAGAATCTTCAAAATCCTTCTCCTTTTCCAGTAAAGCACAAATATTAGCCAATAATGAACAAACCATAGCCCCTAAGTGGCACCAGGAAACATTGTCATGCTGAATTTAACTTATTCATTAAAGTTAACTGTAACTTCCAGGTTAACTCCTGATATAGAAGTCAGTGTTTCAGAAATTTCAAATGAGAATTAGGCCAAATTCTGAAATGGACTGAGAGGAGGGCAACATTTGTGGCTGAACAACAATGTAAACCGGGATCTCTTGGACTTTCAGGATAAAGTGGGCCTGTCACCAAGCAAGCACTCTGTGGCAACTTCAACCCTTAGGTAATCTGAGCAAATATGTTCCTCTCTCCTCAGTAGATATGAAGCCATCTCATTTCTCACTCAAGATAATCATTCTGAGGATAGTCCATTTATAACCTCTCCTACAGGAGTAACTTTGTGCCTTCTCATCTACCTGGGATACTGCCAGGAATCAGGAAGCAAGCAAGAAAGGCTAGTATAAGACCAAAATAAACACACCAAGGTTTATTCAATTCAACCTAGCAAAACTATATTAAGAGCACACTATTCACCAGGCACCGTGCCTGATTCCAGGAATGATGATGATGATAAGAATAATTATCACAGTAGCTAACATAATAAATGCTTACAATGTGCCAAACATTGCTATAAACATGATCATTTGATCCTCTCAACAACCCTATGAGGTAAGGCCTATTGTTATCTACATTTTCTCAAATTGAAATTTAAGGCATGGAGTGATTAAATAACTTGTCCAAGGTCACACAGCTAATAAATGTCAGATACAACTCATTCTAACTTCTCAGTCTGTACTGCTAGCCATTAGCCTACACTGTACTTTCAAAAGTGGCATAAAGGATACAAAAATCAAAAAGACACTCCATGCCTGCCCCCAGAGCCTAGAGTTTAACTGTAAAGACGGGCAAATAAACCTTAAATGAACATCTAAAGCAAACCAGGGTTCAGGAAGACTCCCCGTAGTTCAACTGGCCCTGCCAGTTGAATTCTGAAGTACAGGCAGGGGCTAAACAGGGAGTGACAGGGTATGGGTACATTCAGAAGAAGGAGTAGCTTCCATAAGGCCCCAGGGTGAAGAAAAGCATAAAGAAACTATGGGATGGCATGCTGATCTCCAGAACTGTGCACAGAATTTGAGCAAAACACAATGGTGTGTTTTGGGAAGGAGGGTGAAAGAGGGCTGAAGTGAGGGCGAGAGGTAAACATAGGTGAACTCATAAAGGAACTAATGTGGCATGCTGAAGATTTAAGGAATTTATCCTGGAAAAAAATAGGGGACCATGGTAGGGTCTGAACAGGGAAGACAGTTGCATTTTAGAATCTCAATAGTGCAGAAATGGGTCAGAGGAGGGCAAAAGCAGAGGAAGGGTTAGCAGATAAGAAGCTAGCAACAGGTGTCACTAGGTGAGGAGACAGTGGCCCTGACTAAGGCAGTGGAGTGGAGGAAAGTGGATTGAGGTTCCCAAGGAAGTAGCCACTGTAGCTGATGACTACACTGGAAGAAAGAAGACCCCAATGCAATGCCACAGGGTTCCTACCTTGACGACACAGGTAGAGGCTGACATGACTGAGACCAGAGCACTGGAAGAGGAGCAGGTTTCAGATATGAAGGATCCATTCACTCATAAGTCTCAAGACACTTGACTCAGGAAACCCATCAAAGAATTCCAAGGTACTTCTTTAAGTATTTTTAAACAGTAAATAGGTTTTCATCTGTCTTTCCAGATCATAAGTGATGAGAAGCTGAAAGCTCAGGGGGAAGGATTTGTGCACAGGAAAAAACAAGGCTGATGGGAGGACCTCAGAAGACAAAAATAACAGTAATAATTTTAAAAGTCGACCTGGGAATGCAAAGGAAAAAGCAAAAGAGCCCTTCCCGTCTCAGTAAGGTAATCACAGCACATCACAAGGAGAATGGGTTACAAGATTAACCTAATCACTGAGAAAAGGTTAATTTGTGCTCTGTATGCTCTGTTTTAATAAGCAGGGGAAATAGGAAATGGATTTTAGAAAGGCACAGAAAGAAATCATCGCTCAGATCAAAAGTCCTACTTCACAAGCTCCGTGAGGTAGAAAAATTCACATCGAAACCCTAACTCATCACTGTGAGGGACTAAACAGATGAGATAGACCCCACATCTCTTCAGAAGAGAGGTGCTTCAGGAACCTGTCCCAGCTCCTCTACCAAGACCAATCATCCTGCCTCAGCGAGCATCCTGTGGTTCCCCTTTATCTCCGTGAGAAGAGCCTGCTATTCTGTGATTGCTGGCAAGGTCTGTGGTTGATTTTGTTCAAAATGACATTACACTGGCTCTCATTTTAAGAGCATACATTTCTCCCTCGGTAATTAACTTCAAAAATTATAATAGCAAAAGGAAAAAAGAAAAAAAAATATTCCCAGGCACAGAATCAATCAGTATTAATTGCATTCCTTACCTGTCCCTTATTATGACGTCACCGCAGGACTGGCAATAAAATGTGCAACATTCTTGGGCTTGTAAGCTTTGATTAAATATTGAAATCAGTTCTAAAGAAAATCAATGAAATAGCGAGTCTTAGAGATTTGGAACAAATATATTAGCATACTTAAAGGGTTTACTAGTCACAATAAATTACCATCAATACACACTGTTTATGATCTACGCAGACATACACATTTAATTAGTATTATCAGATGACTCAACCAGAAGCAAACACTGCGAAGTGTTTTCAAAAACAACAGATTTGCCAAGAGTTTCAGAGCTAGGCATTGCCCTAGATTACCCATATAACACACGGATGAGTTTCTGCTCTCATTCTATGAATACCTGCACCAGGGGTAAGTAAAGATGGCCTGCTTCCTTCACCTCTAGCCAACTAGCAGATCTTCCTTATGCTCAGTTTTCCTCTGCTGTCCTTAGGTAGTTTGTCATCAGTGTGACTGCTAGCACACAGAGCTCCTAAAATGTATGTTTAATCTGGGTTTAACAAGGTTTATATCCATGCTGGCACATTACCAGGATATACAAACAAAATGTATGTCTTGAAACTTGTCTTTCTGGGGCAGGTCCCTGGAAACATTATAGTTTCAAAGAAGAGTCCAATCTTCCAAGACCAAAATTCAATTTCTGATGAAAGCTGTGAGAAAATGTTGAAAGTAATAGGGAAAATGTGTATTTTTCACAATATGAGAAACAGCAGCACAAGGCAGCATGCTCCCTTAGTTTCTGTTATTCCATTTGTAGAAAATAAAATTTTTTTCATTAAAAAAAACTAAGATATTTGCCTATAAAAACATGATTGAAGAAATGAGGTCATAGCCATTAGAAGCAAGAAAGTTGAATTTGGTTTGGGTTACTTTGTATATATTTTAAAGACAAAAAAAAAAAAAAAAAAAAAAAAAAAACTGATGCTAGAAAATTTAAACCTTGGCAATTAAGAACTCTAGTTTAACTTGTAAGGGTACACAAATTCCTATAGCACTAAGGTGAAAAAAAAAAAGGAGACCTAGGTAAGACATACAAAATGTTCTTTATAGACCAATAAACAAATTTTCAAGGAAACACTACCCTCTGCTGGCCACTGGGTCAGGTTTAAAAGCCAGAACTTTTAAATACAGAGGGATCCTGGGAGAGCAATGCTTCTGGGGCTGAATCCAACACCAGCGGTGTTGAAAATTCCAGGTAGCCAGTTCCATTGCTGGGTCACAAATCTACCTATATTATGCTCACAATAGTGTATCAGCATGATGTCTATCGTGGTTGTCCTGAATAGGGTGTTCTTATGAAAAGCGCATTTTTAACAATCCCTGAAACAACCAAATGCTAAAAATTTCAAGTCACTTCCTACAGTACAATCTGATTCAAGTTCATATCATCAAGTATATACCTGATATTTATTTATTCATTCATCAAATATTTATTTCCTACCTATGATCTGGAAAGCACTAAAGCAATTAAGTGCCCAGGAATCTACTTTACCCTTTCATGCACCATGTAACAGGTCTTTGAAATTTTCCTTTTCAGATACCTGAGTAAAATGTTTTATAAGCGTAAAGAAATAGGAAACCAATGAACACAAACAATATGCAAACCAACATATGGCAGTCAATTTATTTCATCCTATAATTAATTTCAGTTTTGCAATTTGTATGTTCACAGTTTAAAATATGGGTGGGCAATAACTCAATTCTATTTCCCTGCAGGTCTCTATTCCTCCATCCCTAAAACCACAATCCTAGATAACACTGAGGCTTTCTTGCCTGTCTTTCCCCAGCTCACAGACTCCACACAAAATTCCTGCTATGGTTATTGTTGCTAATGGAGAAGGTGATGACATCAAAGATATAGACTCCCACAGCCTCTTCCTGGAAACCAGTACTACCTTGACCTGGTGTTCAGTACACTCAGGGAGTCTGTTAGTGTAGTTTTCCACCTCATTTTCCTTTCCATGATTATTTCAACTGTCATTCTCAGTGTTTATCCTAAGCCACTTCAGCTCCATGATATCTTTCTTCACTGCCCCTTGTTCTTAAAACCAACTCTTACCATCAAATTTATTATTTGCTAAGCCAGAACTTTAGCAAAAGTTACTCTTAGGCACAAAAGGAGTGAAACTTACTCTACTGTTTCCCCTTTTCACATCATTTTAATCCTCCAAAGCATACTACTTAGACTTTAAGAAATGTAATAAACCAATTATTTTTTCAATAAATAATGAGAACTTACATAAAGAAAACTTTTCTACATCCTTACTGAATCAAAGTGTAATTTGAATTTTGTATAGAGTTACAAAAATACTGTGTTTGTAAGTCACAGTGACAATCAAAATCAAATTATGCATCACATTCAACTTTAGGAACTTTTCATGTGCTGTTCAATTTGGAACAGTCTCTATATGGATGGGATAATTTTCATCATTCAGTTCTCTGGTCAAACATCACCTACTCAAAGTGGCCTTCCCTGACTTCCTACCCTCTGCTAACCCTAAGTCATCCCCTATTCCATTATTTGCTTTACTTTACCTATAATGTTTTTCTCACTATGCAATAAATTATTTGTTCAGTATCTATTCTCTCCCATTAGCATTTAAATTCCATGAGAGTAGAGACCTTCCCTAGCTTGTTCATTACCATGTCCTCAGCACTTAGAGCAACCCATTGCACAGAGTATGAGGTAAGCTGTATGTTGAATGAATTTCCATACAATGCTTTAAGATCAACCAGGTTTTGCACAATTACCATCTGATTTCATTTTCACATTTTCATATCCCACTGTGAGCCAGGAAATTTTAGTTAAAGGAGAAAAAAAAAAAAAAAAAAAACAAGGATTCTAGGGGAAAACTCTGTACCTTCCATTTGATTTTGCTGTGAACCTAAAAGTGCTCTAAAAAACAAAATCTATTTTTAGAAAGTAAAACACTAAAAAGAAATAAATAAAGCCCAGAAAGTTTAAGTGACATGTTCAACTGCACATAGCTAGTAAATAGCAGTGCTATTTACACCCCAGATCTTCTCTCTCCTAGCCCTTCCAGGCACTGATAAGGAGTCTTCACCTGGGAAAAGTTCAACTTAAATAATAAATATCTTTGATTACTAGCAAAAATGTAAATGAAGAATGGAAGTGGTAACCGACTCACTTGTGCTGAATTCTGTGTGTGCCTGCAGCCGAAGGTGCAGTCCATCTCCAGCGACATACTGCAGTCCACGGCAAGAAGAAGGTACAAGCCTGACCTCTGCTGGGAGCCGAACCTCTGTGCAGCCTGTGGGGGTTTTCATCTGGAGCAAGGATGGCATTATGGAAACATCCATGGGCATACCTCCTTCTTTTGGCTCCCTGATAATTAAAAATAAAACCCAAACAAATTATTTTCCTTTGATGAAAACCATACAATAAAAGAAACAAAAATGGATAAACATCTCTCTGTTCCTTTTCACTAGAGACCCTAAAATCATTGCCTCAGAAAAAAAGCAGCAAACAGATCCTAAAGGAAACCAAGCTACACTAGAGTCTGCGCAGGTCAGAGAGTACCCTTCAGTATCATGGCAAGCTCAAAGTCTCAAAACACATTTCTTATCCTTGTGAAAACCTGCCTTAAAAATCACATTGTACCTTAACTGATATACAGAGTTTTGATAAGGAGAGCAGGATTAAGTGAAACAATAGATACAAAACAAAAACTTTCTGTCCAATTTTAAGAACACTAAGAATGAATGGAAAAAAAAGTGACATGTGAATCCCAGGTATGAGAGGACTAATTTAATTTATGATAAACACTAATTACTATACTCAGTATCGGCAACAAAAAGTAAAATGCAGTCCCTGTCCAACAGGAATGAAAAACATAGAAGGGGAGAGGACATATACAGAAGTAATTGTAAATAACAAAGAAAGCGCTGATGGCATATATGGAAATGACTTCCTCCCATAAAGCTGAAATGTGCTCCGCATTGTAACAGAGGTGCAGAGAACCATGGTTATTTTTTAATTTATTTATTTTTTTGGTCCTGAGGATTGAACACATAGCCTGGCTCATGCTAAGCACCTCCTCTGCCACTGAACTACATCCTCAACCTCCCATGGCTTCTTCTTAAATGCAGAAGGCAAGCTATCCACCTAATGTCTCATTCCATCTGTTTGAGAGTTACCTAAGAACAGAGGGCAGAACATGTGTTCAGGGGTGAATCTTGGTTAGGCTTCTTCATTTGTCTTACAAAGTCTTTTTTTTTTTTTTTTAAAGAAAGAGTGAGAGAGAGAGAGAATTTTTTTAATATTTATTTTTCAGTATTTGGCGGACACAACATCTTTGTCTGTACGTGGTGCTGAGGATCGAACCCGGGTCGCACGCATGCCAGGCAAGCGCGCTACCGCCTGAGCCACATCCCCAGCCCCTTACAAAGTCTTAAGGTTACTTAATGGCTAGTACCTTTTCAATGTATATGGATCTTGCACTTCTTTGGGAAAACAGAATACCAAGAATCTGAGGTTTGTTTTTTTTTTTACAAGTAAGACAGTCTCAAACTCTTGAGTTTAAAGTTCAATTAAAAAAAAAAAATTATACTTAAGAAATAATGATTCTCAAAGGCAGGGATCAGAAAACTTTCTATAAACAGTCAAACAGTAACTATCTTAGGCTTTGTGGGTCATATATGGTCTCTATTACATATTCTGTATTTTTTTTCAAACAATCCTTAAAACAATCCAAAGCCTATCCTTAGCTCATAGCTTTTACCTAATCAGGATATAGGTTAGATATAACCCAAAGACCACAGTTGCTAGCCACTACTCTAAAGATACACTGTGTCAATTTTGCTACCTCAATGATTTCCAAACTGGATGAAGTTGTTGACATTTACAGGTCCCTCCAGGGAGACCACTGGGTGCATAAGTTGGCTAATCACCACTCCATCTCTGGGTTGCCACTTTTCTTCCCCTTTAAAAATTCAATTACATGAAACTGAGCAAGGTAGGTATCAATGCAAGGATAAGGGAAGCACAGTAGTCTGGCATGGATGTGAGAAGCCAAGCATGGGGAAAAGAGAATACACCAGGAGAAATATTAGGTGTGGAAGTTGAACCCTAAGACAGATAAGGAAGATATCTAGGCTGGAGATGGAAGGGGAGCACAGCATGGGGTTTCAGAGCCTACTTGGCTCAGGCTGTTATAAAGAAATACAGTCCTGTCTCACTATCCATGGGGATTGATTCCAGAACCACCAACAAATACAAAAATCCACTGATGCTTAATTCCCTTATATAAAATGATGTAGTATCTGCATATGACCAGCACACATCTTCCTATATATTTTAAATCATCTCTAGAATAAAGTATCTAATACAAAGCAAATACTATGTAAATAGTTGTTTTACTGTATTGTATAGGTAACAATAATGGAAAAAGTCTTTACATGTCAGTACAGATGCAATTGCTTTATGAATTATTTTTGATCTGAGGGTGCTGAACTCAGATCTGGCAGGATAACTGTACCACGGACTGAGTGAGCTAGATAACTCTGATATCTCTTCCTCTTCCTATAAAGACATTAATCTTATCACAGAGCTCCACCTTCATGACCTCATTGGAAACCTGATTACTTCACAAACCCCACCCCCAACACCATCACTTTGAGTAATTAGTGCTTTAACATATGAATTTTGGAATTTTGGGAGGACAGAGCATTCAGTCTAAAAGAGGGCCCAAGAGGTATTTACAATGAATAGGGAAAGGGAAAACAGCAAAGCATGCCAGGAGAAGACTAGTTACACAGGGAGACTGGCCAGGGAAATAAATACCATGAGATAATAAGGGCAAGTATTCTTAATGTGGGAAATTAGAGATACAAAGAGAAAAAGGAATAAAACTAGAACAGATCCTATAGTTGTGGAATAGAGTTGGAAATATCTGTGTGAAGCCATGTTTTTTGATGTATGCAGAATAATATAAACATAAATGTATGTATGTATATCCAGAAATAAACATTACATATAAGCCGCACACACACGCGCGCACACACACACACACACACACATACACACACTGGGGGAAATGACACCCCAATAGTAATAAGCATACTTAGAACTCAGATCTTGGTCTGTAAAGGTAATTTTCCACTTTAAAAAGAAAAAAAAAAGAAAGAAAGAGCATTTCTTTGAAAAATGACTACAGTCCTGGAGCAGGAAAAGAATGAGATGAGGCTAAAACTATTCGAAGTACAACAAAGTAAGAAAGAAATCAAAGAATGATAGAGAGGGACATGTCAAAAAGACATAGAAACCATCCTGAAGGGACTCCCTTATAGCCACAACTGCTGTAATTTAAGCAAAGAAGCAACCCACTGAAGAAAACAGGCATATTTATTCTTATTGATGTAAATAAATGAGTAAAATTAAAATCTGATGAGGAACAGAGTATTAACATAGTCTTGTATCTATCCAATTAATACTTTTTTATTATAAAAGGAAAAAAGTAACCTCAGGGGGAGAAACCTGGCACACACCACCTTGCTTAGGCGCTCCAAGTTGGCATAACCAATAATAGAACAAATCAGAATCATGTGTCATCTGATTTTGATGATAAGAACACAGAAATCACTCTGAAATACAACACCTGCCAAAGATGCATAACCAGAATCTAACCTTGAGAAAATAGACAAACTCAAATGGAGAGATATTCTATAAAACAAGTGTGCTATAATTATCAAAAGTGTCAAGATATGAAAGTCAAGGATAATGAGTAACTCTTTCAGATTGAAACAGACTGAATCATGCCAAGAAAATGCAATATATATTCTGACCTGGATTCCTTTGCTATTAGAGACATTACATGGAAAACTGGCAAAACATAAATGGGGACCTGAGTATAAAATGGTAGTAACATACTTCCCAGCTGAGCATAGGGGCACATCTAATCCCAGTGACCCAGGCTAAGGCAGGAGGATTCAAGTTCAAGATCGGTCTCAGCACCTTAGCAAGACCTGTCTCAATTTAAAAAAAGGACTGGGGATGTAGTTCAGGTTTAAAATGTCCCTGGGTTCAATCCCCAATGCCAATAAATAAATAAAACCGTATTTCCCAATTTTGCAGGTTGCAGAGTGTTTCTTTAAGAAAATACTATAATCAGAGATTCTAATTTTTGTGACACTGTCCACACAATTCCTTTATATTTGAGGCATTCTTATTGTTCTCTTAGATACTTTCAGTTGTCACACCTTGCTTAAAACTATCTAATAACTTCACTAAAAGTACAAGTCCTTTCAGTGTTCGGTAAGACACAGTGATAAGATAGACTCAGCTCCTACAAGCCCTGGAGTCCAGGTAGATAAAATTCCTGGAATTCTGCAAATCAGATGACCTTACTTTGGTAGGTCAATCCTGGTGAAAGCATTTACACCACAGGAATCAACAAATGCTGCAAATCAAGATCTTTGTTTACTTTTTTGTTTTGTTTTCATGGAAAGTAGGTTGTTAAACGTTTGCCTGCCCATTAAAGTAAGACCCTTCTTTAGATGCCTTCCCACTCCACCCACATCTCTCTGAACTGGGCACCTTTCAACAGTCTCCCACCAGGTATCTCATAGTTCCATGCCTCAGCCCTTTCAGTTCATTACTCAAATGTTACTTTCTCATTTGAAATAAAAGATGTAAATTTTTTTCTCCTTATCTCTTTTTCTACTGTACTTTTTCCAAGTATTTTCCCTACTCAATATTAGTCTATATTTTATTTAATTTGTAATTTTCTGCCCACCTCTCTCAACAGCCATTATTAAACTGTAAACTTGATGAAAACCAATATTGTTGTTTTTGCTGTTGCTACTGTTTATAGCTATATCCCTAGCATTTTGCATTTGAGTTTGGGCACCAGAGTAGGAACTCAATAAATATCTATAGATTAAAAATGAATGGGAGCTGGAGTTGTGGCTCAGCAGTAGAGGCACTGGGTTGGATCCTCAGCACTACATAAAAATAAATAAATGCCCAACTTCAACTAGAAAAAAAAATGGTCAAAGTTTATCCCAAGAATGCCAAAATAGTTTAACCTGGATTTTATGAATGTAATTACACAGATGTAAAGATTAAAAGGTGGGATTATTATCTCAATATATGCAAAAAAATTGTTAGAGAAAAAATACAATATCTGGTCTTGATCAAACCCCTAGTAAGCAATGAATAGAAAAATATGCAATCTACCAATAGGATCTACCAAAAATCTATTTCACCATACTTAATAATGAAATGGTAGAGGCATTTGTTCTTTTAAGATTAGGAATAAGGTCTGGTAGAACTCAGTGGTGAATCCCTCTGGTCCTGGGCTTTTCTTGGTTGGTAAGTTTTTGATGGTGTCTTCTATTTCCTTGCTGGAAATTGATCTGTTTAAAATGTGTATGTTCTCTTGACTCAGTTTTGGTTGATCATATGCCTCCAGAAACTTGCCGGTGTCTTTGAGATTTTCTATTTTACTGGCGAATAGATTTTCAAAATAGTTTCTAATTGTCTTCTGTATTTCAACAGTGTCTGTCATGGTATTTCCTTTTTTATCACAAATTTTAGTAACTTGAGTTTTCTCCCTCCTTCTTTTCATCAGGGTGGCTAAGTGTTTGTCAATTTAATTTATTTTTTCAAAGAACCAGCTTTTTGTTTTGTCAATTTTTTTTTTTTTTTTGGGGGGGGGGTTGGTTTGTTCTTCTTTTTCCAGAGTTTTGAGATGTAATGTCAGGTCATTTATTTGTTGACTTTTTCCTTTTTCAATGAATGAGCTTAAAGCAATAAACTTTTGTCTTAGCACTGCCTTCATAGTGTCTCAGAGATTTTGATAAGTTGTATGGGAGTTCTTATTTACCTCTAAGAAATCCATATGCAGCAAAATGAAAATAAACCCCTATCTCTCACCATGCACAAAACTCAAAGTGGATCAAGGACCTAGGAATTAGACCAGAGACCCTGTGTCTAATAGAGGAAAAAGTAGGCCCAAATCTTCATCACGTCAGCGTAGGCCCCAACTTCCTTAACAAGACTCCTAAAGCGCAAGAAATAAAATCAAGAATTAATAAATGGGATGGACTCAAACTAAAAAGCTTCTTCTCAGCAAAAGAAGCAATCAATAAGGTAAAGAGAGAGCCTACATTTCGGGAGCAAATCTTTGCCACTTGCACATCAGATAGAGCACTAATCTCCAGGATAAAGAACTCAAAAAACTTAACACCAAAAAAAAAAACCCAATCAATAAATGGGCTAAGGAGCTGAACAGATACTTCTCAAAAGAAGATATACATTCAATCCACAAATATATGAAAAAATGTTCAACACCTCTAGTAATTAGAGAAATGCAAATCAAAACTACTCTAAGATTTGATCTCACTCCAGTCAGAATGGCAGTTATCAAGAATACAAGCAACAATAAGTGTTGGCGAGGATGTGGGGGAAAAGGTTCACTCATACATTACTGGTGGGATTACAAATTGGTGCAGCCAATATGGAAAGCAGTGTGGAGATTCCTTAGAAAACTTGTAACAAAACCACCATTTGATGCAGCTATCCCACTCCTTGATCTGTACCCAAAGGACTTAAAATCAACATACTATAGTAAAGCAGCCACATTAATGTAAATAGCAGCTCAATTCACAATAGCTAAACTGTGGAAGCAATCTAGATGCCATTCAATAGATGAATGGATAAGGAAACTATAGTGTATATACACAATGGAATATTACTCAGCATTAAAAGAGAATAAAATTATGGCATTTTCAGGTAAATGGATAGAATTGGAGAATATTTCGGTAAGCGAAGTAAGCCAATCCCAAAAAACCAAAGGCCAAATGTTCTGTCTTATAAGAGGATACTGATCCATAATGGGGAGACATGGGAAAAATGGAGGATCTTTGATAGGACAAAGGGGAGGGGGCAGGAAAGATGGAATGTGATGGACATCATCACTCTAGGTACATGTATGACTGTACACATGGTGCGACGCTACATCGTGTACAACCAGAGAAGTGAAAAATTGTGCTGTAGTTGTGTACAAATGAATCAAAATGCATTCTGCTGTCATATATACCTAATTTTAAAAATTAATTAATTTTTAAAAAGATTAGGAATAAGAATATACTCAATCATATCAATATTTACATTAGCAATAAATGTTCAGGGAATTCTAATTAAAATGCAGAGATTGTCAAAATGGATTTGAAAAAAAACACCCAACTGTTTTGAAAAACAGTTGAAAAAAATTAAAAAATATATATATATATATAAAGACAGGTTAAAAGTAAAAAGGTAGTCAGGCATGGTGGCACACACCTATAATCCCATCAGCTCAGGAGCTGAGACAGAAGGATTACAAGTTTGATGCCAGCCTCAGCAACCCTAAGAAACTTAGTGAGGCCCTATCTCAAAATAAAAAATAAAAAGGGCTGAGGATGTGGCTCAGTGGTTAAGCACTCTTGGGTTTAATCCTTGGTACAAAAAAAAAAAAAAAAGGAAAAGGGTATGAAAAGACATACTCTGCAAATAGTATAGTAAATTAATTTCTGATAAAGATACTAAATTATTTCAATGAGAGAAATAATGGTCTTCTTAACTAATGGTGATGTAACACCATTCCATCTACAGAAGATATATTCATTTAGAAGAAAATAAACACTAACCCCTATCCAACTCACGGCAAATAAAAAAAAAATGAATTCATCATCCATAGATCAAAACACAAAAGGTTAAACTATAAAACTTCTAAAAAGTAGGCCAGACATAGCGGTGCACAAGTCTATAGTCTCAGCTACTTGGGAAGCTAAGGCAAGAGGATCACTTGGGCCTGGAATTCAAGGGCAGCCTTGGCAACACAGCATGACCACATCTCTAATAATAGCAATTAAAAAAAAAAAAAAACTTAAGAAAAAACTCTCTACAAACTTAAGGTAGGCAAACTTTTTTTATTACAAAATACTAGTGAAGCCAGACACAGTGGTGTACACATATAATCCCAGCAACTCAAGAGGCTGAAGCAGGAGGATCACACCTTCAAAGGGCAGCCTCAACAACTTAATGAGATCCTATCCCAAAATAAAAAAGGACTGTAGCTCAGAGGAAAAACACCCCTGGGTTCAATGCTCAGTACCAAAAAACCAAAAATGTTATATAAAAAAGTGATAAACTAGACTTCATTAAAATTAATTTTTCTGTTTATCAAAGTTAGCCTTGAGCCATTCCCTGAAGTTGGGCACACTCAGCTCTAATTTACTTAAATGTTACTTTCACTTTCACTTTCAATAAATTTACCTTTTGTTTAAAAAAAGAAAAAGAAAAAATACCACATGTTGAGCATGCCTAATTCAAACATTCAAAATCAACTAAAATGGAAAAGTTTCAGATATTAGACAATTCCAAACTGAGAATTTCAGATCAGAGACGCTCAAAAAGTAAAGTATATGCAATTATGCAAGAAAACTAGAGGATATTTATAAAAGAAAATATTTGAATTGCCAAAAAGCATATGAAAAGGAGCTCAATGTTATTAGTCATCTGATAAATGCAGATTAAAACCATGAGATGCTACTTTATACCCACTAGAATGGTTCAAACCAAAAAGACTGATGATACTAAATGCAGGCAAGAATGTGAAGAAAATTGAAGCTCCCCTCTGGTGAGTGTGTAAACTGGTATAATCACTTTGGAGAACTGTTCAGAAGTCTCTCACAAAGAAGTGCACACATGTATCATATGACTCATCAATTTCACTATAAGGTATTGACTCATGGAAAATGAAAATATATGGGGCTGGGGATGTGGCTCATGCGCGGGCGGCTGGGTTCGATCCTCAGCACCACAAAAAAATAAAATAAAGATGTTGTGTCCACCGAAAACTAAAAAATAAATATTAAAAAAATTTTCTCTCTCTCTCTCTCTTAAAAAAAAAAAAAAGAGAAAATGTATGTCCATCAAAAGTCGAAAACAATGTTATGGCAACTGTACTCATAATGAGCACATGTTGGAAACAAGCAAAACTTCCAGCAATAGAATGTATAAATGATTTGTGGACCATTCATTTGATGGAAAACTACTCAGCAAGAATAAAGATCTTTCTTGCAGTGCTAGGGACTGAACTCAGGCCTCCAGCATGCTAACCAAGTACTCTACTGAGCTACACTCCAGCCAGAACTCATGATTTTTGAAAGAAAGAAGGGGAAAAATCCAGAGAGTACTAATACCCCCATTTTAAAATTGAAGAAAGTATATGATATGTCAAGAGCTTTGTAATGTTTTGAACAACCAATAAAAAAAATAAATGAATAAATAAATAAAAATTGAAGAAAGTCAGATTAATTTAACCTATTTTCAAGGAAGCTAGGATTTGAAGTCAATTCTCATTCCAAATCCAAAATCTCCACACCAGATCTTGGCAGATTTAAAGAAAAGATGAAAAGTTGAGCATCTATCTAGCTGTGGCACTGTGTAATAAAAAATTTCAGGATCTTAACTTCTCACTTATTCTATTTGAAAGAGCTGTCAAAAGGAAGTAGGCGACAGGACCACAAACCATTAAAATTGCTGACAATAAGAGAACTTTTTTCCCAAGAAATTCTTGTCAATACAGTGAATAATAAAAGTTTGCAGACTTCTCATTGGAACTTGGAATACGAATAAAAGACAATGAGCTCCAATAAGAAGTCTGCAATCCCTTTTAGGCATTCACTGAACATGGGTTTATTGATTGTGTCCATCAGTTCCTCTGTATTGAGCAGTTTGGGGAGAGAAAACAAACAACCCCCAAATCCCCAAATCGAGGTTATTTACAAAACAGGAAGCCCGACATTGGAATTGATCTTTACATGGATGATCCTGAATAAAGATAGTCAGGCATTTTTTATGGTTTTATTGGAAACGCCTGATACTGCCAACGGTGTTTTACGTCACTCTTCCTCAAACTTCAACATGCATTTGAATCCAGGGAATATTGTTAGAAGTCTAAGTTTTGCTTCAGCAGATCTGGTGTGGCGCTGAAACCCTGAACTTCTAAAACGCTCCCAAAAGATGCGCTGGCTGTCAGTCGCGGGGAGGGAGTGGTACTTCACTCTGAGTAATCATGACGCGCGAACAGCTAGAAACAGGAAACTCAAAATCCGTGGTTCTGAGGGAGGCGGAGAACGCCGCTGGACCCGGCGGCAGGAGCGCGAGCTGGGCTCTGCCTAGCCGGGTCTTACCCCAGGATCAGCGCTCCCAGCCCGGCCTTACCCCACGATCAGCAGCGCGCTCTGCAGCCGTCTCCGCACCTCCACGAACACACGCGTCTCCACCGCACTGGCTTCCATCGCCAGCGCCCGGTCTGCCCTGGATTGAGCTGGGGGTTCTCACGAACCCGGGCCACCAGGGGCAGGAGCGGTTGCACGTGCAGCTGAAATAGAGGAGGCGACAACAGTGGCAGCTCCAGCACCAGATCGCACGGCTGGCGCCCTCTGTCAGCCCACAGCGCCGCCTGCCGGGCGGAGAGTGCGCCGCCTTAAGGTCGCGGGCCCCACCCCCGGAGCACATTCTCAAACCCGCTGGGAAAACTGATGGCCAGAGCCAGGTTACACTTCCTAAAAGCGCCACCTGGTTAGCCTCCCTGTAAAATGATTATAAAAATCGAGGGTCGTGGGGCACACTCTAGCTAGTTTGGGTAAAAATGAGATAATGGACGGAAGCGATCAGGTGGGCACTGTCCCCAGGAGGGGACAATCAGAAATAGGGTCTTTTGTTAGCCTCTGAGACAACAAAAATGTGAAAGATCAACTTGGCATTGCTTCTCAGTTTAAACAGGATAGCTTCAAGATTGAAATAGTTTCAAAATGTAAGGAAGTTTTCTGCTACCTATATAAAAGAGTGTGATTCAAGTCTAGTATTTTAAATTAAAGGATCAATCATTCATATAACCTGGAATAATTCCAGATAACACGTTTCTACTATTTTACAAAAGTAAAGACTAACTCAGAGAAATCAGAATTTCATTACAAGATAATTTTTGAAAGTTTGCTAAAGGATCTACTATAATATACATACTTATAATGCAGAAATGTAAAAATATAAGATCACAGTAGAATTACAAAAGGACTTCTTTAAAAACAAAGAACACTTATTTTAAAAGAAAAAAATGATGGTTTGTATAAAAAATTCTGTTTATTGATGCTTCATTTTATCATTTCAAAGTCATAATTACTACACACCAAACTTGAAGCATATCAATTTAAAAAAAAAAAAATCCTTAAAATCTATAGAGATACTGGATTAAGATAATTTTTCAAAAATCAGTTTTTGGAGTTTTAAACTTTATGGTATTTGCTGCACAAATTCTTGTTCCATCAGAATAATTTGAAATCATGCATGGAACTTGGTAAAAATATTAACTTAGTAAAATTTAGTAAAAAAAATAAACTTTCTATTCGTTTTCAACTATTTCATCTATTTAATGCATGATGATCACTTGATATACTATTCCATCATTAACCCCCAAGGCTGTCATAAATACTGACATATCAAAATAGATAACATTCTTAGAACAGCATATTTTTTAGAACAGCATGTTCTTAACAATTAATGTTTTATTAGATTAAAAGAGTGTTATATTCAACAAATGGTGCTGGGAAAATTGGATATCCATATGCAATAAAATGAAATTAAACCCCTATCTCTCACCATTCACAAAACTCAACTCAAAGTGGATCAAGACTAGGAATTAAACCAGAGACTCTGGGCCTGATAGAAGACTAGGCCCAAATGTCCATCATGTGAGATTAGGCCCTGACTTCCTTAATAAAACTCCTATAGCACAGGAATTAATATCAAGAATCAATAAATGGGATGGATTCAAACTAAAAAGCTTCTTCCCAGCCAAAGAAACAATCAGTGAGGTGAATAGACTACAATTTGGGAACAAATTTGTTTTTAAATATTTTGTTTTAGTTATAGTTGGATACAATACCTTTATTTTATTTTTATGTGGTGTTGAAGATCAAACCCAGGGCCTCACCCATGCTAGGGGAGCACTGTACCACTGAGCCATAACTCCAGCGCCAGGAACAAATTTTTAACATATGCACATGAGATAGAGCACTAATCTCTAGATATATAAAGAACACAATAATTTTAACACCAAAACCACAAATAACCCAATCAATAAATGGGCCAAGGAACTGAACACTTTTCAAAATAAGATATACATTCAATCAACAAATATATGAAAAAATGTTCAACATCTCTAGCAAGTTAGAGAAATGCAAATCAAAATTACTCTAAGATTTCATCTCACTCCGGTCAGAATGGCAGCTATTAATAATACAAACAACAATAAGTGTTGTCGAGGATGTGGGGGAAAAGGCACACTCATACATTATTGGTGGGAATGCAAATTGGTGCAGCCAATATGGAAAACAGTATGGAGATCCCTTGGAAAACTGGGAATGAAACTGAAGCCAGATTTAAAGTTACTTAGTCAGTGTAGTTAGGTAAATCGGGTCTAATATCGAGTAAGATCCAAAATGGAGGCCCTGTTTAGAATGAATTCTGGGAAAAGTTGAACAACTCTTGGAATGTTAATGAAGTCCAGGAAAAGTCCAAGGCCCAGAGCCCATCCCAAAGAAGTGTTAATAAACAGCCCCCAGCAGACTTGAAGATGCTGACTCAGAAGTCCTTCCTGACCAGATTACTTCTTTGGCTCACCTGGGCCCCACCCTCGGGCCTTCCCACCTACATTCAGTCACTGAAAGAACTGTAAAAAGGGGAAACTTCCACGGATTCCATCTCTTGGGTCCCCTTCTTCCTCCGGGAGAAGTCTTTTCTGCTGTCCTTTAATAAACTTCTAATTTCCACTCTGACCTTGCCTCAGTGTGCTTCTCTGGTGTTATTCTTCAACATTGGGGAAGCAAGGACTCGTCACAGGTCAACAGCGGTAACAAAACCACCATTTGACCCAGCTATCCTACTCCTTGGTCTATACCCAAAGGATTTAAAAGCAGCATACTATAGGGACACAGCCACTTCAATGTTTATAGCAACACAATTCACAATAGCTAAACTATGGAACCAACCTAGAGGCCCTTCAATAGATGAATGGATAAAGAAACTGGTGTATATACACAATGCAATATTATTCAGCATTAAAAGAGGATAAAATCATGGTATTTGCAGGTAAATGGATGGAATTGGAAAATATAATGCTAAGTGAAGTTTTCCAATCCCAAAAAAACAAATGCCCAATGTTTTCTCTGATTTAAGGGTGGGGAGGACATAGGAAGATTAGATGAACTAAAGATAGGGCAAAGGAAGGGGAGGGATAGGGAAGGGGCATGGGGGTAGGAAAGATGGTGCAATGAGATAGACATCATTACACTAAGTACATGTATGAAGACACGAATAGTGTGACTACGTGTGTACAACGAGAGATATGAAAAATTTTGCTCTGCATGTGTAATATGAGTTATAATGCAATTTGCTGTCATATATAACAAATTAAAATTTAAAAAGAGATCGTTATATTTTATTTAAAGAGTCACACATTTGTAAAAACTTTCTTTTGTTCTCTCCCCTATAGTCTGGGCAAAATGGTGAAATCCGCCTTGACGTATTTTGACATGATTGAAAGGGCTTTATACTCGGTGCCCAATGACATCAATATTTGTCTCCTAACTTCACACTGGTCCTCTCCGGACCTTAAGTTATTCATATAAAATATTCATAATTCTTTAAATTATTAAAGAACAAAAATTGTACATCTACTTAAATAATTATTTAAATAATAATTAAAATCTGTTTTCGATTCCTACAAGCCATTCAAATTTTCCATCAAATTGGAACTTTTCCAGGCGATTTAAAAATGCCTGCTAAACCCCTTTCCTGGTCCACTCCCCGTGACCGCTTCTCATTAATATACACTGGAGGGCGCTGTAGCACCAACTAGCGTCAGCTGGCATGGAGTGATCGGGGGCGGGATCAAGGGCCGTCAACGTCAACGCCGGCGTGGGCGCGCGCAGTGCACACTGGGAGCTGTCACTAGGCCCTTCGGCTCTGGGCCTTCGTGTCGCTGTCGCGGTTGCCAGGAGAGCGGCGCCGGCGGGGAGCGGCCGAACCCACGGCAGGTAACAGCGTCCCCGCCCCCAGCGCGGTCGCGAGGCTGGCTAGCTGCCTGTCCCGAGCAGCCTCCTCGGCCCAGCTCGTTCTGGAGCCACAGGGATGCCCCGCGGTGTCTGACTGCTGTGGCGTCGCGGGTGTAGCCGCGGTCCCGCTTGGAGCTGCGACGCCGCCAGCCGCCCTCTGGTTTCCGGGGATTCGCGAGCTGCGCAGGGACCCAAGGGCTAGGGCCAGATGGAGGCGCGAGGGTGGTCCAGGGCAGGGGTGACTGGAGGCGGGGCCGGGGCTTCGGGTGACCTGATCCAAGCCTTGGCGCTGGAGTCAAGCAGTGCGCAAGGCTGGGGAAGAGGTCCCACCTGTGCTGTAAAGGCGCGCGGAGTAGCCTCTTTGTTGGTGGAGTCGAAGTATTGTGTCGTCTGCTTAGTCTGGTGGGTTCTTTTTGAGTAGGGAGGGTGAATGTCAGTTATGGTCAATGGTCCCAAGTAAGGGGTTAGAAAGGAGTACAGCAGTTTATTAAGAGGAAGCCGGAATAGTCATACGGAAGTTGTTAACAATTATTCACCTTTGATTTCCAAACTCTTTTGAAGTTGCAACATAGCAATACTTACTTGTTCCTTTTCCTCCATTCTTCTACCCTGAGGGGGCCCGAACAAGTGTTCTCGTTCGTTTTCTCTCTCTCTCTCTCTCAAGCTAAGTGAGTAGTGTTTTGATTAATCTTACATTATCTTAGAGTTCTATGGAGTTAAAGAAAGATAAAGATTGAAAAAGCCTGATTTAGAGACTGTAGTTAAAACAATGAAAAACATTTTGGTTTACAACAAAATATAAAAAACATAGGCCTTGAACTACTGAGGAAAGAAATTTGTTTTGATGTTGTTGGCTTTTGATAATGCAGACATAAATTCTTATATTTTAATTTTATTTGTAAATATTAATATAGCCTTCTATGAATAACAGGTCAGCGTTTTATGTACTAAGTCACTGCTTCATGGCCAACACAAAAGTTTTGTCAAATACAACCACAGGTAGTCCAAGTGCCTTATTTTAGTGATTGCTTTCAGACAAGCCTAATCACTCCTCAGAATTGCTAAGCATTAATTAATCCCCAGGCAGACTTCATTATTAGGGACCCAATTTTTAAAAATATTTTTAAAGTTTATTTTTATTTGTTGATGGACCTTTATTTTGTTTTATGTGGTGCTGAGAATCAAACCCAGTGCCTCACATTCTAGGCAAGCACTCTTCCACTGAGCTCTAATCCCAACCCAGGGACCCAATCTTTTGAAGAAAGAATTAAAAACACCTTGGTTAATACACAAATCAGAAAACAT